TGACTTAGAAACGACGCTGTCAAGGAACGCTATGGACAGAGGAAACATGCAAGAGGAGGAGAGTTTAGTGTCGGAGGTCGTGGATGAGTCTCCTCCGTCATCCATTTTTTATTTAGAGGAGGAAAGCGGGGACGAAGATGTTGTGGAAGAGGACGCCAGGGCGGCAGAAGCTTGGTTTGGTGTAGAAGGCTTCCAGCCGTACATGTTTGAGCCCTTGCCTCGCAACGCTGCCAGTTCTGTTAGCTCTACGCCTGCCGAAGACACAGACGTCCATCCCCGTGAACACTGGGACGCAACTCAATGGGAAAGGATTCTGATTTCTGGTTTCAACCGTTGCGTATATTAGCTGCAACATATGAATCAAGATGCTATGACCTAAAAAATTTGATTGATAGATGGCTGTTGATATATGATTGAACAAATTTAGGTATTAAGCCCCTTTTGTGTTGCGGCGTGGAATAACATAGCGCCGACCACGCTTCAATATTGAGCATAAATCAAAATGTCTGCATCATACCTGTGACAAGCTCACTGCGGCACACTTTTGCGGGAGTATATCCAGCCCTTAAGGCAGTACGCAGGGAACTAGCAACCCCATCAACAAATTCATCAACCCGTGAAGGGGAATCAACTACATTTTTTGCACTCTGCAGCACTGCTCAGCAACACAGAGGAGAGAGAAAGTAAGATTCTTTAAAATGTATAACTGCACTATCTGATAAAGATCTGCTAAAGTGAAACCTTCTTTTGGGGGAGGAGAACTCTGTTAAAGTAATCCTGAAAGTTATTAAAAAGTGGTCAGAGAGGACAGGGTTGTGAGGAAATACTGTTATTTCTTCACATTCTATGCCGTATGTCAGCACAAGTATGAAGATGAGAATGTGTGGGACTATTCACATTTTGAACAAAGCCAATAGCAGCTAAGATAGCATTAAAGGCTGCTCTTAAGCTATCGCCTTTAATGTCATTACAGACCTTAAAATTCCCCTACTATGATGACCCTGTCAGTATTTAATAGCAAATGAGAGAGGAACTGTTGGTTGATACAAGGTTAAAAAAGAAGTTTTCTTGCTTTGCAATTTGGATGAGGGAAATTAAGGGTTAAATGTTAAAGAGTTGTAATTATTAACTGCCTTTGCCCCCGAAAAAGTGTTGCTACTCCTCCTCCTCGCCCAGAACTTCTGGGTATGTGAAAATTTAAATAGCTTGAAGGAGTTGCCTCATTTATGCTCACATAATCCTCTTGCTGCAGCCAGGTTTCTGTAAGGCAAAACAAGTCAATGTGATTATCACAAATCAGGTCATTAACTAGTAGACTTTTATAGGAAAGAGATGTTATGTTAAACAGACCACATTTAATCGTTTTAACTTTTTCTCCAATTGGAGTTATTTTAATTTCAATTAGATTATCATGATTTACTCCTTTGGGAATATTTGCTAATTTATTAGATTTTGGTCGTGGGCAAGACACTGTCTGGATGGAGTAAAGAGTGGGTAACAGTAGAGAACCTGCAGACGGGTGTGTTAAACTACAACTTAGCTTCCTGGTCCAGTAATATTCGCATTCTGTTCAATAACAGTCCTATTGCGTTCCAAAGAAAGATCATCCTGGTCTAAAGGGAAGTCCTCTGGCTAGAAAAGTTAAAGAAATGCCTTTGTAAAACCTGATGCATTCTGATGGCAACAACCACTTTGTTTTTCAGGATGACCATGGTTACATCTCTCGCGAGTTCCATCGCCGGTACCGTCTGCCCTCCGCCGTCGACCAATCAGCCATCACCTGTACCCTGTCAGCTGACGGTCTGCTGACTCTGACTGGTCCAAAGGTGTCCGGAGGGAGTGAATCTGGTCGGGGTGATCGCAGCATCCCCGTCATCCGCGATGACAAGACCAGCGCTGCTCCATCCTCCTAGAGAGAAACCGCTCTAGTTTCAAACAAACCTTCTAGTCTGGGATGGACAACCCGAGATTTCTTCTTCTACGCCTGCTGTTCATCTTCCTTCACTTCCTCTGTAGGCCCTCATGTAGAACTATAGTATCGCTGTTTTTAGGTACAACATAGAGCAGCCCTCCAGGGTTGCTGAGTAAGGGCCTCTAAACCCTTTTTTCTCTTGTCCTTTCCTGTAACCTACTGTAGACCTTGTTCACTATTACCATGTTCACGCTAAAATAACATTTAATAAAGCTGTATAAATAACTATTGAAATTTGCCTGGTGATTCATGAAATGTTAACTGAAATTGGATGAATAAATTGGGAAAAAAAGGTTAGAATTCAGACTTTTGCCAAATTAAACTCAAATATTTATTTTTTTTAATCAGCTAACTTTTTTTCCTTCCAGTTGCCCTAATCACTTAAAGGAAAAGTCCGGTCAGCAAGGAATAATCAATGGATCATTATTTATACCTAAAACTAATACGTTCGCGGCGATTTAATGATTAACTGATAATTAGCATTTATCAGTAAAAAAAATTTAATCATTTTTGTTGTGATCACTGAGTCTGGGAGCGGCCATTTTTCCCCAAATATAGGAACACCTCCCTCCTGACATCTTCAGGTGTAGGTCCCCGATCTGCTCGGGGCCCCGCCCCTTCTTATGACATCAACATATGGCAACACCACTCGGATAAAACGTATTGCACCCGTTTCTGAAAGATCAAATCTCTTTTGGATTCTCAACATATTACCTATATTTGTGATTATTTTACGTTTCGTCTGCAATCTAAAGTAACAGAAAGTAGAAAACAATTATTGTAAGTCAGTCAGTCCGCGGGTCATTAAAAATCATTAAAAGTCATTAAATTATTATTTTTTAATTTCCTTATTTTTAATTGGCCTTAAAATTCATTAAATGTAATTCTCGTGGCATTTAAAATGCTTTATCTAAAAAAGAAATATGATTATAAAAATAATTTCAGATATATTTATCGCAATTTATTTGTGCGGAACAGCTAACGGTTGATCATAAAAGCCGAATGTTTGGAAAATGAAGCTTGAGGCAGAGAAAAAGCTAGAGAATGGGAAAATGCTAATTTTGGGTGGGAAAGTGAGGAATTCGGGAACATGGCTACAGTCTATTGATGGGAAAGATGACCAAGGTTTTTCTCATGATAAATATATATATATATATATATATATATATATATATATATATATACATATACATATATATATATATATATATATATGTATATACATATACATATGTATATATATATATATATATGTATATATATATATATATACATATATATATATATAAATTCTCATCTTATTTTTATTGTTTTTATTAAGATCTGAGGTCAGAGGAGAACAAATGGAACATCTTAAAATGCTACTTTCTTCTACTTGTAGAAAACGAACGTTGTTGACATTAATTTAAAAGCAGTGTAACCTAATATGACTAACTCACCGAGCTAAAAGAGGCTAACTTGTTAGCAACTGATCACAGCTAGCTACAGCGCTACCCAGCTCTCCCCTTTACATCATACTCTAACAGTTACTTTGTTCACCAGAAACAGATTTTTTAAGTTTTAGATCAGGTAGAACATCATTGGTCATTAGACACGCTAACGCTACAGAACCTCCCGACTCTGCACACGGACGCAGCGTGATGTTATTATCGTTGTCTGGGCAACCACTATGTTTTACACCACGTCACTGGCAGGAAGCAGGACCCCAGCAGATCTGGTTCCGGCAGTGACGTCACGGTGCGGTAAGCCTAGCGCCATTCTCCCCGCTTTCCAAGCTAAATCAATGGGAACTACTAGACACATCTGCAATCAACAACAATTATTGAAGATTTCCAGAGGACTTCACCATTGAAATTCACCAGAGCTATAGTGAAACTGACAATGCCCACGTGCATGGCAGCTGGATGCTGGAATACATCGGGTAAAAGTGAAAAAAAGAGTTATTCCACCTTTCTGATTCCTGATCCTCCACGGACGGGTTGGTCGTTGGATCGCCAACTTGAAGAGGGAGGATTTGCCATCGAACTTCTGGCCAGAGAAAAAACCCGTAATATGTAGCCAACATTTGGAAGAAGAATGTTTTCAAGATGACTTGGATAATAGCGCGTTGTGACAAACACCAGATACAGCACTGGGACTTGATCAACAGCCGATACCGCACCGTGACGTCACTAACCAGTAGGTGGCAGTAGTGTTCTTTGGCAAACATGGATGCCTCCAGTAAAGCACATTCACATGAAAATGACTCTGAATTAAAAACACTGATCATTTATTGAACAGGATGGAATCATTTCACATTTAAAGAACTTTCAGAAGTTTGAATCCTGAATATAACCGGACTTTTCCTTTAAAACTTTCTTTTGAATAAGATATTACTTTTAACCTTTTAAATATGAGGAGAAAACCTCCAAACAGCCGGAACTTGTTTGGTTGACATGAACCTTAGATGGAGATATTTTCTTTTACTCCCAGAATTTGAGTTTAAAGGAAAAGTTATGCTATTCTGTGCCACTATAATAAAAAAACTGATTTTTACAGCTGAATTTATCAGTTCTAATTCTGATTTTATACAAAAATGTAATTTTAACTTAAATTAAGCGTAAAAATATGTACAATTCCTAAATTATGAATCTCTATTGACCCAATATTCCAAAATAATAGCTTTATTTGATCTTTTTGATATTTATATAGCTATGGGATTGTTTTAGCTGCTTCTATGCTATGCTAAAGGATTTTTATTTTGATTTTAACGATAATCCAAATTAACATTTTTAAGCGAAATATAAATATTTTCAGGTGAAATATAATTTAAATTTAACCTACTTGAATGGAAATGTTACTTCATGCAGCTATATTAATACATTTGAATCTCTTGGCCTGTTTATTATTTCATGCTTTTCTGTTCCCCCATGAATACACGCTGGCCCCCCTCTTGGCCCCCTGCTGGCCCCTGGGTACATTTGGTCTAGAACCGCCACTGCTGAAAACATTAACACATAATGACCACAAAAAACACAATATTTCTGGAAATCAAACCTTTATATCTGCACTGAATGAGGAACAGATTCCCAGAGAAACCATAAAGTTGTAAAATAATCTGGATTAGAACTTGAAGAACGACGTCAGGTCTGATTTAGTAGATAACTCTGCGTATGAAGCTCAAACCTGACAGAAAGACATCAACAGATGAAGATTTCTGGTTCTTTAACGCATTCGACTCCATTTTTACGAAGGTTTCCCGTCTTTAGGACAGAGGGCCTTCAGGTCCTCCAGCGTCTGCAGGGCAGAAGCTCTAAGACCAGGCTGGGTGCTGGAGGTCAGGCGTCCGACCCGAGCGCGGAGCTCCTGGTCGAGCAGGCGGGATCCCAGCAGGACGTCGTCCTCCAGCAGGAAGGACTGGAGGAGACGGAGACAGTGGAGACACACCTCCCAGTGCTCAGACGCTGAGGGAACCAATCAGAGAGCAGAGGGTTTCCCCCTCAGACTGGATTTCATGGATCTGGTTGATATAGGTCTATGGAGCCGCCCTACCGTCCAGCAGCGTCCAGATGAGTGGAATCAGATCTTCATTCTGGGCGATGTGCTTCAGTCCTTTAACGCAGATGCTGACGTTATACAGAGCCATCAGCATCAACCTGCAGCAGAACACCCACACCGTTCATTAAGGTTCGCTCAAACAGAGGAAAACGTGACGGATCATCAGAACCGCTGGCCCAAAGACAACATGACGGTACGGACGCACTCGGTGCGCTGCTACAAACTGCAGGCAGCAGGATAATAAAAGCCAACATATTCTGCCGGCAGGTTTCTACATTTGAAGTTAATTTAGGCGTTAATAAACTGTTTCAGAGGAGTGATCATAGCGCTCTGCATCAGCAGTGCTGTGTCTGACTCCCTGCCAGCTCCCAGATCAGCTTCTCTCATTGGTTGATGAGGCGCGTCCAGCAGCTGAGAATCTGAGCCCCAAAGTTTCAAAGAGGCTGAGGATTGTGGATCTCTTAGCCATAGTTCTCCGTCTTTCTTGGATGCTTTCTATTTAAATCTATTTCATGGTTTTAGATGAAGTGGATTAAGTGGTGCCAGGATGAAGATGGCCCCAACCCATACCACCAGACGCACCGAAACCTGGTTGATGCTAATGCCTTTTCCATGACGTTTGAATTCTTTATGAAGTTGACTTTCTCATAGACTCTAGATGCATTTACTTCATTATTATGTCAAAATATAAATATGAAACAACCATATGTGACTAAAATGGGTTTAAAAAAGATCTTTGGAAATATAGAAAATTCACAATTCTTGGAGAATATCTAATGTAGAAAATGTGTTTTTTGTTTTTAAATAATCCATTTTACTTTATATCTGTGGTGAATTATAGAAAAGACAATAATCTCCAAACTTATAACAAAGAAAAAAGATGTAAATATTTTAGAGTGATTTTGCGGACATTTGTTTTATGTACGATGGATGGAAAGTTCTGGTTTGACGTGTTTTTTTCTTAACGCCTGATTGAATCTACTGTAGATGTTCTGCGTTTGAATTGACGTACACTTTCAGTTTGGGGAAGACGCCGGGCCTCATGAGGTGCAGCAGTTTCATCAGCGTGTCCAACACCACGTTTCCTGAGCTGCACAGGAAGTCCCGCCCACCGGTCACTGCTGCTATATCTGATTGGCGGAGGAGAACAGAAGGAGTGAATAAAGCATCAGTAGTAATCAGTGGAAGTTCTCCATTAATAAGGACTGACTTGTGATGGTCCCAACCAGAGCCAGCACAAACTGGTTCTCATTGGAGCTCTGGTCCTCAGCTGGAGGTTTTAACTCCTCGTCCAGAGACTTGACAAAACTCTCCAGAGTCTGTGCGGCAATATTCAGGAAGGTGTGGAGCTTTCCCTGTGCCGTACAGCGAAAAAACGCAGCAAATGAGACATAACAGCATGTAGACCCTCCCACAGCAGCAGAGCGGCGGACTCACGTCGGACAGCCAGGTGGTTATGGTTTCCTCCCTGGAGGAGCAGCTCCACAGCAGGCTGCAGGCCGAGGAGCCCAGCGTGGAGCAGAAGTCGGCCTGCTGCTGCAGCTCCTCGCCGCTCTGCCACAGCTGCTCCCTCAGCAGCAGCTTCTCCTACAGAGAGAGAGGCAGCGGCAAAGTGCCCAGACAGGGTGACCTCAACGCTGCAGACATAGACAACAGCTTTTCCTCCTGGATTATCATCCAAACCCACTCTAGAAGCTACTTTGGGAACAGAACTTTAACAAATAGAAGCTTTCATGCTGCTCTACAAACTCTGAACTCACATGAAACAGAACCTGATTGGCTCAGAGCAAATCTGTATTTTGCTCATTTCAAAATGAACTTTGTCGGTTTAAATGGGAAAAAGCAGAAAGAAAGAGAACTGAGGGTCTGCTGGGAACGTCCAGCGAACGACTTCAGTCAAAGAAACCAAACCCAAAGATTTCTTTGCCCATTGGAGACCTGGATCTGATCTTGTTATGGAAGATTAGATTTTTTCCACTGCGATCCAAGCCACTTGGCTCTGTGGTCCTGAATCCGATACAGGAAACGGTCAAGATCAGCTAAGTCCAACGAGAAGATCATCACAGTAATTGAGTTCAACTCAGGTCCTTCTCCGTGCTCTGGTCCTTCTCCGTACTCTGGTCCTTCTCCGCGCTCTGGTCCTTCTCCGTACTCTGGTCCTTCTCCGTGCTCTGGTCCGTCTCCGTACTCTGGTCCTTCTCCGTGCTCTGGTCCTTCTCCGTACTCTGGTCCTTCTCCGTACTCTGGTCCTTCTCCGTGCTCTGGTCCTTCTCCGCACTCTGGTCCGTCTCCGTACTCTGGTCCGTCTCCGTGCTCTGGTCCTTCTCCGTGCTCTGGTCCTTCTCCGTGCTCTGGTCCTTCTCCGCACTCTGGTCCGTCTCCGTACTCTGGTCCGTCTCCGTGCTCTGGTCCGTCTCCGTGCTCTGGTCCGTCTCCGTGCTCTGGTCCTTCTCCGTGCTCTGGTCCTTCTCCGCACTCTGGTCCGTCTCCGTACTCTGGTCCGTCTCCGTGCTCTGGTCCTTCTCCGTGCTCTGGTCCTTCTCCGTGCTCTGGTCCTTCTCCGCACTCTGGTCCGTCTCCGTACTCTGGTCCGTCTCCGTGCTCTGGTCCGTCTCCGTGCTCTGGTCCGTCTCCGTACTCTGGTCCTTCTCCGTGCTCTGGTCCTTCTCCGCACTCTGGTCCGTCTCCGTGCTCTGGTCCGTCTCCGTACTCTGGTCCGTCTCCGTACTCCGGTCCGTCTCCTTGCTCTGGTCCGTCTCCGTACTCTGGTTCCGTCTCCAGAACCACAATGTTTGGCAGGAAGAAATTAACCAAACTGGACCTTTACATGCTTTTAACTTCAGTTTCAAAGCCAGTTTATTCAGTTTGAATTGATTAAATCCAGTTTAAATGTAATGAAATCTGCTTGAACAATTTTTGCAGATACAGATTTGCTCTGTGCCATACAGATGGCCATTCTGATGGCGCAAGTTAGAGCAGAACTGTGGATTGGAAGGGGAATGATGTCTGGGTTTGAATTCTACAATAATCTACACTATAAACCCATGGTAGCTCAGGAGGGACCAGGCCAAGTGTTGTTGAAGTAATACGTTGTAATGAGATGTTCTGGACAGATGAGACTAGAAACAGCTTTCTGGCTTCAATATAGAAGATGATATGAGGAAAACTAAAACCAAAGACTGCACTGACAACATGTGAAAACATGGTGGTGGAAGCATTATGCTGTGGGGAGGCTACCATTTAGGAAGGATCAAGGTAGCTAGTCGGATTGTAGATGGATGGAGATAAATCTAATGAAGGAAAGCTGCAGGAAAGTGGCTGAGACTGGACGGCCTAGTCAAAGCCCAGTGTTCCCATTGGTACTCTGCAAAGCATAGACTGATAAAGAAACTAAAACCCTTCCATCATTTTCTGAAGCAGATAGAAATCACGCCACTATCGTCTCACCTCTCTCTCTTTCTGACACTCGGTCTGAGCCGCGTCCAGCCGGGACTGAAGATGCGACCGTTCCTGTCTCAGCTGGTTCTGTTCCTGCTCAACTTGGTCCTTCTCTAAACAGAGAACCACATGTACAGTTCTGTGGATTAGCCGGGTCCACTCACGCTACACGTTTAACAACCATTATCGGTTATAAGCAGTGCTTCAGGACGGTACTGGCCTGAACTGGTCTTGGCGCCGCCTATTTACCGTCCCAGTCGTTGTTAGCTTGATGACTGGTACCTCTAAAGCCTGATTTATGCTCAGAAACCAGGTCGTCTGCTAGTGTGTCGCAGTCAACAAAGATATGCCCCGCCCCCTTCCACAGACATTCTGCTGCACCTCTCCAAATTGTAGGAGACCGCAGACAGTGCCACAGACAGGAGGCTTCTGATTGGTCCGATCTACATCCACTCTACACTATGCGCATTTCCTGTTTCGTTCCTTACCGGCTTGTTTTGTTTGTCTGACCGCCATTGTGGAAAACGACTGGTAAAGATGGAGTAGCAAGAAGACCGAGGTGCGTGAGAACTCTGGGAACCTTTTTCCACCTGGATCCCCGCTCTTTTTGGCCCTCATGTCTTCGTTGTCGGACAGACCTGTCGCCACTTCCTCACCGCCTCGCCGTATCGAGACCCACGGCTAATTCCTGATTGGCCCTCTGGCGTTGTGGCGTGGATTAACTTATTGGAGACCAAGCTTCAATATTGAGCATAAACAGGGGCGGATCTAGAAAAATATTTATGGGGTGGCAAGAGGGGGGCAGGAATTTTTTAGGGGTGGCAACATATGGCATTTGTTTACACTGAATTTAATCCCAGTTGTCACAGTTTGGTGAGAATAGTATGTACAGTACTAGTGTTTCATGTGAAACAGTTCATATTAATAATACATCGTACAATGTGATCTCACTTAATAGGAGATAGGAGAATGATAACACTACTTCTAGAGGGGCATTATCACAGGAAAGGTATTAAGGTAAGACACAGGTGCTGAGTATAGATGTCTGAGACTGACTGTCAGAGAGGCAGCGTTGCAGCATTTGCACAAGAAGAAACTATAGAAAGAAAAAGTTTCCCATCAGAGATCTATGGACTGAGCTGCACTAAAGTGAGCAGAACTACACAGTAGAAATAAATGGGTCAAGGCACCCGAATAAGGTACTGGATATCTATGTAATGTTTACTCTGAACACACATTTACCCCATTTGTTCCTCAGTAACGTGACATACAGCAGTTAAGGCAACATGAAAGGGACATTTCATGCATGTCAATATGCTGTAAATAGAGCTGTATATGGAGGACCAACTCTGCCATATTTAAAAATAAATACAGAAATAAATAAATGCTCAATAAATAAATAAGCATACAATTAATTGCCACCAAAAATATAATCAACAAATAAATGTAATTAGAAATTATATTATAATGGCAGGCAGAAATGTTAAAAGGGCAGGCAGAAAGAAATAGCGACTGACTCATTATCAGGGTTTATACGGGAATGAGAAACTAAAATTTTATGCTTTTTATTGCTCTAAGAAATAATTGTAATGCCATCAACAAGAACCCATGACTCTTATATATATATAAATATATATACATGTATATATATTTATATAAAAAACATGACAAAATCCTTCATTATCTTTACCGTCGACAGGCTGCAGCCACGTCCCGAATTCATCGTTTTCCAGCCACTTTTGTTGAAATTTGCATTTTCCCCATTCTCTAGATTTTTCTCCGCCTCGAGCTTCATTTTCCGAACATTCGGAAAGAGCAGCAAATATATCCCGATATGACATATATCACAAAATTGTTTTCATAATTTTTTTTTTAAATAAAGCATTTTAAATGCCGCGGTGATCACATATAAAGTTGTGGGGAAGCAGCCGTTCCAGCGGTTAAAGTTCAGAATTCTTCCGAAATTTACACGAGTGAATAAAGTGAATGTGATTGGTCAAATATCAAGGGGGCGGGGTTGTTGTGGTGGAAGGTTCACAAGCAAGTTTGATTGTGCCCGGTTTGTGGGAAGCATCTTGCTAACCAGTTAGCAACTTAGTGCTAGCAGGTTCCCAATGGGAAATTCCATTGGGACCAAGTAGCACTAAATTGGTGACTTAGAAACGACGCTGTCAAGGAACGCTATGGACAGAGGAAACATGCAAGAGGAGGAGAGTTTAGTGTCGGAGGTCGTGGATGAGTCTCCTCCGTCATCCATTTTTTATTTAGAGGAGGAAAGCGGGGACGAAGATGTTGTGGAAGAGGACGCCAGAGTACATTTATATACATGTTCCATGATGCCCGGGGCGGGGCTAAGACTTAGTGGTTTTAGTATGTCAGGTGGAATTTTAAATCTCATTTTATTTGTTTACACAGCTATAAAACAAAAAGTATTTGTGAAAAAATTGTTTTGAAACATATTTTTTTAATTTTAAAGCCTCATATGACTAGCCTGGGTGCCAGTCCGAACTTAGTCCCGCCCACAAAGTTTGAGGTCGGGAAGTTCGGTCTGGCTCTGCTCCATAGTAGCGCGAGTATTATCGCCCACTGTCAGGCGATCCAATCAAATTGTCAGGGCGGGCTTTATACGATGATGGACAGATGATCAACAGTAACGTAATCAACCACGTGACCAATGCGCGCTTGGGTGACAATAACAATGGCTGCCGCTGTAGAGTTTAGGTGAGTAGATTCTGCTATTAGGTCTGTTCTAGAAAATATCGACAGCAAATTAATTTTAAAAGAGGAACAGAGAAACGCGATCAAGGCTCATCTTCTTATTCTAGGCGTGAAACTGCACGCTTTGATTTTTGTGGACAACAACTGTGCCTGGCTTAACATACGTCACGCACTCCGTTGCTCTTATTGGTTGTAGGTCTATCCAATTGAGTGCAGAGGCATTTTTTTTCCTGGTTCGTTCGAAACACGCCCCATAATGACAGCTCTATGGAGCAGCATCAGACTCATTCTGACTAGAATTGAGTCGGACTACGTCAGGCTACCATATGACTGTATGGTGTTAAAGAAAAATGATTATTTTTTAGACTTTAATACAGTTAATCTTATGGCATGTGTAAACACTCTCACTTGAACATATTTCTTAATTTTGAACAAGGCTGTGTTAATGATTTAAAACTACTAATGGGTAAGTATTCAAAGCACAGGAGGCCCCCCGCATTCCACAAGCTGTCTGTGAGAGCTTATCTTGTGTTTTATGACTTTAAGAATTCTAGATGCCAGGACAAGCTTTCCGCCTTTTCTTGTTAAAACAAAGAAGCAAATGACCCCAGATGTTTGCAGTAAATAAGGGGAAGCCCTAGCAGTGTCAGAGATGGCTTTTGGTTGGAGGACCGAGGGCCAGCCCTTTTTGAATGGATTAGATACAAGAGGATAAAGCTTTCTAAATAGAAGTTACAGATCAGATTTTGCCCTTGCAAACTCTCCAAAGATGTCTTGTACGTCTTTGCTTTCTTTCCTCCTATGTCAGGTAATGGAATGTATGTCTCTGTTGTTCTGCAGTTTCTGGTGTAGGTTTGTGCATTGTCTTATTTCTAAGTTTATGCATTGTCTTATATTGGATTAAACTCTGTAATTCTGTGATGTCAACACGCCTTGCTGATTTTCATATTACCAAACGCAGCTCGCCGGGTGGACCTGGAGAGGGAAGAAAATGAAAAGCCAACCTTTTTCCAAAGTTAACTATGTTCGAATATTTTCTTCCTTCACAATGGTCAACGGAGAAAAATATTAATGTTTAGGTTTGGGTTTCTGCAGCGTCAAATGTGTGGATTTAAATTTTCCATTTTTTTTTTTTTTTTTATCTGAAGCTATGTTTGCTGTCGAGGTTCGTGGCCTACTTGTCTCCGCTCTTCGGGCTTTGCGAAGCGTTTCAATCAGATCGGCGTTCAGGACTCTGGGCAGGAACTCCCTCAGCTGCATGACCTCAGTTGTCAGCTTTTCTAAATCTCTCCTCCGGACTCTGACAAAAGCCTCCTGAGAAGGAGAAGAAAAATATACGGAGGAGGATTAGGGCCACTGAAAAAAAAAAAAAAAAAAAAAAAGTACACTGATTTTTTTATTTTATTGCAGTATAATACGAGAAAAAAGTCAGAATTCTGAGAAAAAAAAATCTGAATTGTGAGATTAAAGTCAGAAGTCTCGAGATTAAAGTCAGAATTGTGAGATTAAAGTCAGAATTATGACTTTTTTTCTCATATTATAATGAAATAAAATTCAAAAATAAGTTAAATTTAAAAAAAAGTTTCAGTGGACCTAATTGTCTTCTTCCAGCTGGAAAAAAAACACCATTAAACAAGCCCCGCCCACCTCTTTATTACTGCTGTGGTTCACGGCTTTCCCGCCATGTAAAGCCGCCATCTTCCCTTCTTTGCAGCTGTTGGAATTTAAGCAACAGGATTTAAAGTTTAATGGAATATTAACAACATTCAAGTTAGCTAGCATTTATTCTTTTTATTTAATTTAAAAAACAGAAAGTTTTTTATTTGGTCCGCCATTGTTTGTTCAAATATAATCATATTATACACTAACAACTGAATCACTCACCTGTTATCGTGAATCAAGCTTCAGCGGTTACTTCCCGTCCCTATTTGGAGGAAATATCGCGAGAAAAATCCAGTCCGCGTTTTCGGATTCGCCATACGTGTGTTGGGGATTATGCTACGTTCAAGGTGTTTCGGACAAAGCAGTGCTCTAACTTAAATCATTTCGTCCTTCGCTGCTTGGACATATAAAGTGGAATAATCTTTGCAGTTTTTTATTTTCTGTTAACTAGAATTAACTGTTGCTCAGTTATGTGGTTCTATTTAAGCTTGGAAAGGAGGAAAATTGATTACTTGAAACTTTATTTTGTTTATTTGACTTCTTACAGAGAAAGAAAACTTTTTTAAGGAGGGGGAGGTGGTTTTATTGGTTTAAAAGTGGTTGAATGTGTGGCTAACAGACTGTTTGAATGCACCACTTGGGTGTGCACCTCTATTTACAGTATTTCTGTTTTTTTATTTTACTTTCGGAGACAGGAAAGCCGGGTTTCCGGCAGCGCATGAACGCGTCCTTTTCCTTTGTGTTTCAAACTCTCCTCTGAGAGCACAAGTGGCTCCAAGAAGCGCGTTTAACCGCTCAGCCTGCCGCTTCCTGATGTCTGCGGGGGAGCGAGCCGAGCTGTCGGCTGACGGCTGGCTCTTCCAGCACTTCCCCATCCACCGCGCGTGCCGCGATGGAGACCTGGTGGCTGTGATGTCCTTAGTGGAGTCAAACCGGGCTCATCTGAGCGCAGAGGACTCCTGTTATGGATGGACGCCCATTCACTGGGCTGCTCACTACGGACAGGTACTCACTACTAACTCCACTGACACCATTACAATCATTTATATGATCAGGTATTTGTTTATATATGTGGCGCAAAGCAGCTGCGCCAAGATTCAACTTTAGTTCAAAAGAAAAACACGTGTTTTTAGGAGTTTAATGTGAGGATTATTCCGCTCCGTTCACTGCTGCTCTGTCGCTTTCAATAAAGTTTTTCTTTTTTTTTTTAAACAAAATTTAAGCCGAGCTGCTTTCTAATTGGTTCCCGCTGAGCCAATCGCTGCTCTGGCGCGAAGACGGAACCCGGAAGTGCTGATTGTTTGTTTTTATTTTAAAACGTAGCTGGATTCTGACCTCTGGTTATTCACTGGTTGGCCGGCCGCCATATTGGTACTCCCTAGTTAGTCCGGTGACAGTGTAAACAATCCGATCAGGGGGAGTTAAGACTTTATTCTCAGAAACCTGACTTTAATCTAAGACTTAAAATACAGATAAATTCATTACTTTGACTCAGACTGGCTGTTTCACAGCATTAAGAGAAAATAACTTTAACTTATTATAAATAAAATAAGCCAATCACATTGCAGAGTCATTATGAAGTCTATAAATCATGTAATATAACATATTATACAAACCATCACAATAAAATGAATGTGTTGATGGAGCAGAATAATACAGCTGAGACTAAAGTGATTGATGATGAACATGTAATAAACATTTATTATGTAATAATCTTCTACATCAGGATTGAATCACAGGTCTGTTAAAGCTGTGGTATTGCTAACTGTGCAGACAGCCAGTCGTGCTCTACTGCAGGAGGCATCAATGTCTATATATTGATTTCCCATTAAAAGTTCATCCACTGACTGTGAAATTACCAGTGGAACGTTTTCCCACTGCCAGAAACCTGCTGGTTAATGCAGCAAAATGCTGCACAGGGAGGCATTTTACTGCACGTCTCCCTGGGAGTGGGGAGTACCAATATGGCGGACGGTGGCTTCACTTTTTTTAGGAATTACAGTGATTGAATAGAGATCAGTGGATTCATGTCATTTATACAGAAGAGGATTAGGGTCGCTAAAAAAAAAAAAAAAAAAGTTCTTTTTTTACATTTTATTTTAGGATAAAATGGGAAAAAGTCAGAATTCTTTTTTCCTCAGAATTCTGGCCATGAAAGAAGAGATCGTAGTACGGAAGAAGATTAGAGCCACAAAAAAAAATAAACTGAACCGATTTTTACATTTTATTTCAGTTTAATATGAAAAATAACTTTTAGGTTAAAGTCAGAATACTGACTTTTTTCCCCATATTCTACTGAAATGAAATTAGAAAATAAATTAGCTTTTTTTTTAGTAGCCTTTATCCTCTTCCGTACATTTTCATCTAATTAAGCCATTTAAAATTAAATACCCGAACCCCTCAGTTATATTTCTAACATGTAGTGTTTTATCTCTTCTATAGAAATGTAGAAAATATTTATTTTTGTGACTTTATTCCCTATTTTAATCCTTTCCTGGTGTCTTTTTTTCACTTAATGTCAACAATAACATATAAATTTGTACAAATACATACGGAAGAGGATTAGAGCCACTGAAAAATAAAATAAATTTAAATATTATTTCAGTTAAACACAGGAAAATAGTCAGAATTCTGACTTTGATCCCATAATATATTTTTTTTACATATTAAAGTAAAATGTAAAAATCATTTTTTTTTCCAGTGGCCCAAATCGCCCTCCATAAATCCGCATCTCTTCGCCATTAAATGGTTTAGAATTTTAGTAGAATTCCTGATGTCTTTGCTTCCTGTCAGTCTTTTTTATGTTAAATGGAAATAGAAATAAAACTTTAAAAAAAACACCTTGATCATAAAATAAAGAATCACAGCATTAATGAAAAGTTTTTATTAGAATCCATATTTTATTTCCCATAAACCGGAGTTGTGTTTGGTTTCTGCACATTAAGTTGCTAAAGAAGCTAGGCTAGCTGCAGCTAGCAGGTTCAAAGGTCAGATGTCGATCCACAGCTGGAGTGCGTGGTCCACCTGGTGCAGAGGGGCTGCGAGGTGAACACGGTGACCAGCCGCTTCAACCAGACGCCCACGCACACCGCCGCCTTCGGAGGACACCCCCACTGCGTGGTGTGGCTCACCCAGGCCGGCGCCGACATCAACAAGCAGGTGCGTTCCATGCCGGCGCGGCGGTTAATGCCGGTTCCGATGGCGTTCCCATCCACTTCCTCCTCTCTCCGTTCTGTCTGCTTTTCAGGACTGCGTCGGTGAGGCTCCCATCCACAAGGCGGCGCGCTGCGGCAGCGTGGAGTGCATCCAGGTGCTGCTGATAGCTGGAGCAGAGCCACGGTGAGTGGGCGGGGCATGCGGCCGATTCTCAGCCAGATGGAACCGGTTCAGAGGAGGATGAAAAAGATCATTTATTCAACTAAAGCCTTTTTCTAGCAGCTGGAGGCGCGTTAGCATCGCTAAAAACAGACGACGTAAAAACAGCTGATTGGAACGGAACCACATCGCATTCGCCACGGAAAATAAATCAGTTTATCTCATTATTACCAGATAAAATCCTGTAACCATCGGTTTTTAGAATTCCAGCTCATGGCGATTACCCGTGGCGTAAAAAAATAAATAAATCAAATGGAAATCCTTCTTTGGTTTGCCAGCCAATGGTAGCAAAGGAGCGCTCTGAAACTATCAGTACTAGCCAATCAGAAGGAGAAGGGGGCGGGCCTTAGGACAGCATGGTTTCTTGCTAATGTCGCCTGATAGATCGTGGGTTCAGTGCTGAAGGGAAAGTCGCCTGGCGTCGTTTACGGCTCCGTTCAACCGAGAGACGAGTTAAAAGTCAGAAAATAAATAAATGAAACTCTGTGTTTGGAGAGAAGGACGATGGAGCGAACGGAATGGCGTGGAGCGGGAACCATGCAGGTCATGAACTCCGGGGAAGACGTCACCACCATAGATGGAGGTCTGAACAATAAATGGCGCTGGAGACGGGGCCAGATGGCGTTTAGCAGCCGGAGCAGGAAGTTAGGTCAGCCAGGCGCTTCCTTCTCCACGCTGCGCTCCAGGAACGCATCACCAACATCAAAGGAATGTGGTTCATGCCAGCGGTAGATAGAGATGCACTTCCGCCATCTTCTTTATGGTACAACCACTTCCTGACTCGGTCACATGGTACGGCGGGTAGAGAGGCTTCATTTGGCTCCTCCCCCTCAAAGCCTCGCCTCATTGCATCGCTGCAAACCGCCGGAAATCAACTAATGAACTGAAAAATCTGAACAAATGGCCAGAAAACAGGGAAATAAAATCAGAAAAGTTTCTTATAAATTAAAAGTTTAAGGTTTTCTTTCTATATTTTATTATTTTATTCTTTAATTTCCATTTTCAAACTTTGCTTTTTTACTTGAAGCAAAAATAAAAACAAAGGTTTTTGGTTTGTTAAGGTGGAATGAAATGTAAAGGAAATGAGTGCTTGGAGGCGATGATGATGATGCGTTTGTGTTCCGTTCTGTTTACGTAAAAGCCGCGCTGCATTCGGAATCCACGTCTGATAACGAATTAGAAGTCTTTTCCTTTTTTTTTATTCTTACAAAATAAAAGCACGAGGGTGCGTGAAACATTCTGCGATTGGTTGAAATGATCTTAAGGCGGAACGCTGCGTTCTGTCCAGTTTAAGGAACGCCAGCGGACAGACGGCGGCGGACTTAGCCAAAGCTAACGGCTTCCACGACTGCTTCGGCGCCATCGTCCAGACGCAGCTTTGCCGGCTCGCCGTGCTCAGAGACGTCGCCCCCTGTGGCGAGGGGCAGCACTGCAGGAAGAGGCCGCTGGTCGCCAAGGAGACGGCCTCCATGAAGAAGGCCAGGAGAGCTGAAGGTAGGTTGCAAAAGTTCAGGTTTCGGGTGTAAATATTGGGAAACTTCTGAAAAAAGGCGGTTCTGTTGGACCTTTTGCAGCGTTGTTGCCAAGCGGCGGCGGCGGCGTGGAGGAGCCGGGGGCCGTGAACATGGAGCTCAGCTCAGGTGAGTCCAGAACAGAGGCGGTTCTGATCCAACATGGCGGGTTTTTCCTCACGTTTTCTGCTCCCATTTCTTCCAGATTCCGATCCAAGCACCGAAGAGCCCCGCCCACCCTCCGACGCCGAACCAGACGAGCCCCGCCTCTCTCTGCCCAGCGCCGCCGATATGTGCGGCTCGCTGCACCTCGCCGGAGGTTCAGGTTCGGGCCGGCCGGAGCACTGGCGGCTGACCGGCGCCGACTCCCTGCTTTACGGACACTACCACGGCTTCGGGGACACGGCAGAGGACCTGAGCGACAGCGGCGTCCACCTCTACCACGGCTCGTAGCCCCAGGCGGATCGGACCAGAGGAGAACTCCTCCCTTTGGTTTCATCTGTCCGATCAAACCAGGCCCGCACTCTGAGAGGAGGCTGCAGCCACAGCAGAGCACGGTGGTGGCGGCGTCATGGTCTGTGGGTGACTGTGCATCCAGAAAAGGTGACAGCCTGGAGTTTACCGAACTGAAGTCCAGAACTGGATGTTTTCTACGGAGTGAATTTAGTCACGCTACTTTTGTTTTTCCAAGCAAAAAATTTGTAAATTAGAATGACGAAAAAAAAAAAAACGCAAAAAAATTTGCAGATTTTACTTTTTTTCTCCGTATAATGAATATTTAGTGGGAAAAATGTAGAAAAATGTTTTTTTTTTTTTAAAACGTTTTCTTGATCACTTTTTTTTGGTTGATTGTCACAATAATGGCCCTAAATTCCCTCCATACCTTCTGCTGCAATGGTAGAAGAGACTAACCAAACATGACTGATCCAGGTTCCCCACAGCATGATGCTGCCGCCGCCGTGCCTCACAGCTGATGCTCGGTGTTTCATAGCCATGGTGCTGGGGGGGGGGGTGTTAGCACTGTTCCACCAGCGGGTGGCGGTAGAGCTCAGAGGATCAGAGCAGATGATGAGATGCTGCCAATGATTGGCTGGGTCTGAATGCGGTTACCACGGTTACCATGAAGCCTGGAAAGTCTGGATCTGGATTTAGTTTCTTCCAGGTCTGGAAAAAAGGAAAATGTAATATTACTGTTTAATTTTTTTTTATTCTCCGTCCTGTTCTGTCCCTCCTTCCCTACTTGCGTCCTTTCCTTCTCCTTGTCTCCTTTCCTTATTTTCATTCCTTTAGGTGGTTTTACTCTGTTCATGTTGTTCTTTCCTTCTCCTACCCTTGTGTCCTCCCTTCCTTCCTTCCTATTTCCCTCCTGGCTGCGTTCTGAAGCAGCGTCCAGTAGATCCGATGCCCCCCTCCCTCCAGATCGGATCTTTCTCTCCCGTTTTGCACTATGCAGTCGTCCAGCTGCTCCCAGGAACCAAAGGGAACGTTTATCACGGAGCCACAGCTGCCTTGCCTCGCCTGCTTTTCTACGTTCTGACTCCTGTTAATAAAACCTGTTTCACTCAAACATCTCACATCCGTCCATTTATTTCTGTATGTCAGGTGGCGGCCATGTTGGCTGCTCTGCACTGGTGGCAAAGCCACTCCTGAAAGCTTTCCAAAGGTCCAAACGCAGCAGATCCTAAAGATTGTTATGTTTAGAAATATATTAACTATAATTTAATCAATAAATAGGTTTTTATTCAGTGCATAAGTTAATAATATAAAGGTAAATGTGTTTTATATTAAATCAAAAGTTATCAGAGTAAAAACATTAAATGGCTGTTAAAAATAATAAACTCCCAAAACTTATATACTTAAAAACTCTCTAAAAAATATAGATTTTTTTAATAATTTGGACATATCTATTATTCAATATTAACATTTAGTGATTTAAGTCTGCATTTTATGGTTTAACACTAAAAAATTGATTAGATCAATTAATGCAACATCTACATTTTTATGGCCTATTGAGTTTGTTCTGGAATGATGCGTTTAGGGCCCGTCGTTCATCCCTGTTTTAAAGGATAATCCAGTCCAGATGGACATCCCATAATCTAAAGATTATTTTTTTTTTGGTTCAGAGAAACCAGGATCCATGTTTGGGTTCGAGTCGCCAAATAAACGATGAAAACATCCGATTATAATTAAATGTCTTTAATAGAATGAAAACGAGTTAAATCTGATATAAAAGCAGCAGGACGGCGTCCCAGCAGCCTCCCAAAGGTCACTTCCTGAGGTCCAGCTGGATGGTTCTCTGCAGGCTGGCTATGCTGGCGTCCAGAGCCGCCAGGCCGTCCCTGAACGCCGCCTCGTCTCTGGTGTTGAAGCTGGACTCGGACCTCCTGCTCCAGTTGGACCAGGACTCTGGCGCCTCCGACCCGGTTCCGTCTCGCTCCGCAGCCACTCGGAGGTTCCGAGGCTCCGCCTGGGTCAGCGACGCCAGGTACCGCTGGATGTGTTCGCCGGAGGCCGCGGCTGGGGAGAACCGCGGAGAGTTCTGATGGTCCGACGGACCGCGGGCCGGAAGGAGCCTGAAACACAGAGAAGGATCCGGAACGCTGCATTGAAAGGGTTCTGATCCAGAATTCACACCAGAACCGCCTTCCCTCTCTAGAAGAGAGGATTTCAGAGCCGTTAGCGTCTAAAGAACGTCTAAAGCGTCTAACATCAGTCCATCGATCCCTGATATGAATGAAATAACGGCGGATAGCGTGATGCTAATTAAACGTAGAAGATAAAACCAAACAGGAAGCTAATATGTTGCTAAATACAAAAATGATGAATAAAATACGTAGCAAATGTATCATTAGACGGGAGTAATTCACTAGCCCACTGTTAGCCACCGCTGTGAGCTAGCTCTGTTTTCAGAGGAATTTGTTCTGTTAGCATTTTAAATAGCTGGTTCTGGTTGCGATCAGAGCCGTGGCGACTCTAGAAATGTTTCATGGGGGGAATAAAAGAAGGGGCCGCTAAAAATGTGAAACTAAAAGCCGTAACTTCGTATCTACTATAGCGGTAAACCTTCTGGCTGTGCAGAATGGGAGGAAATGCTAAACTAACTGGTGGCCAGTGGTGCTAGCATGTCTTCTATCCTGATCCCAAATCTAGCTTTTTATTTCCGAGTTAAAAGCACCGAACTTTGTCCGCCCAAAAGAGTGGATCTAAAGCCCTTCCATTTTAGCCGGGCATACACTGGAGGATTTTTTTGCTCTTTTCAGGCTGATTTTTCAGGCTGGTACAGGAGGTAACGAGGGGCGATCAGCCTCTGATAACCACCTCCCTCAGGAATCGTGAGAAAATCAAAATAAAAAATATGGAGCGATTCAGAATTTTGATGTCATCTCTCAGATGACATCAAAAACCCAAACCTGATTTAATAAAGATAAATGCTGAGGACGATCACATTCCTTCAGACATCCCATTCTCATAGAAAGTGAATTCTCTAAAGCCGTTGCTAAGGAAACAGGCAGACCCACCTCCTCAGTTCCTCCACTTCCTGCAGTCTCTGCTGGGCGAGCGAGGCCAGCTCGCTCTGCTCTCGCTCGCTCTCCAGCAGCCGCTTTCTGGCAGCCTCCAGCTCTGCGGACAGACGGACTGATTGGTTACCGTTTACTAAAACAATGTACTGTTTATTCACTAAAGAAAATGGCCGCCCATTCGCTGATTGATCAGACGGATACAGAAAGCGATAGAACCCAACCTATCCCATGATTCATTGCAGATGAAAGCAGATTAACCCTTTAAAGCCAAGCGCATCATATCTGATACATGAGCTGCTGAGAACGCCGCATTATCAGCGCCATATTTTTGTTCGTGAAAAACCTCGATTCACACAATCAGATACGGTTAGTGAGCAGAAAAAACATTCAATATTATACAGAAACGCCCAATGTATCAAAATGGATGCAAGTAAAGGATATAATTTAACTCTTAAGTTGTCAGGAAGTTTAATGATGACTAATTTTATTTTAAAAATATAATTTTAGGGCTTTAAAGGGTTAAATTGCGATTAAAAAAAAATAAAACAAGAACAGCAGAATGACTTTTCCAGATGATTCTAAGGAAGCCGCTGGTTTTATTTTCCCACAGTCTCAGTCACATGGTTTAAATTAAAATAATGGCAGTTTTTGTTTATTTTCTACCGTTTATTGACTAAAGAAAATGGCCGCCTATCTGCTGATTGATCGGAGGGATTCAGAAGTCGATAACCTGCCTCTAGATGTACGATGCATCCTGTGGCCTTACTTAGCTTCTTGTTTTTTTCCAGATGTTTCTAAAGCAGCTGCTGCTTTCAGTTTCTGCTCGTTTCCCACAGTCTCAGTCACACGGTGTCTTTTTATAGCGGGTTTATTAAAATAATGGCAGCTTTTCTTTATTTTCTACCGTTTATTGACTCAAGAAAATGGCCGCCTATCTGCTGATTGATCGGCCGGATTCAGAAATCCATAAAGTAGAGGCCTAGATATATAAAAGTGTAGAACGTGATAAAGTTCAAATTGATAGGTAGAATTATCTCATTGGGGAAGCGTTTATCTGATTTATTATTGAGTTAGTACAATTCATTTGGTTTATGACCAAATATGGGCTCAAACTACTTTATTTTTTTGTATTTCATACATTTCTGTCAGGATAATACCCCTTTAAGAGGACATGATGCATGATGGTTCTGTTTATGGATCTGTTTATATTTAACAAAAAGAGAAAACTATAAATATGCTGTATGCTCAAAGCCTGGATTTAATTTAATACAGTCGCACAAAAGCAAATATCTGTTTTTTTAGTTCTTTTAATAACAATAACTTGTATTCTTGACGTATGATGACTGCGGCGGCCAACGCTATCCCATAATTCATTGTGGGTAGAAGCAGGTTAAACTGGGATTAAAATGAATTACGCTTCCTGTTTTTTTCCGGATGTTTCTAAAGCAGCTGCTGGTTTGTTTCTCCTCCTTTCCCACAGTCTCAGTCACGTGTGCTCTGTTCAAAAAACCTGGGCTGCGTCCTTCGTTTTGCCCGATTTGAAGGACGGGTCCGATGTATCCTCGCTATCCTTGGTTTACCCAGGATTCATTGCGAGACCAAGCAAGCTGGCTGCTCCGTGATCAGAGGAAAAGTTACTTGGCGCCAACCAGTGGTGAAAATTGGAAGTTCAGTTTAATATAATCCAGTCAGTGAATAGTTCCGTCTGAAATGAATGAAATAGTTGTTTTAATGGTTATAGAGTCAGATATGTGGCGGTAATGTTTGGTTTATCTAAAGGTTTTTATCTGTTACTGTGTAAATGGGTTTGGCTGGAATTTAAGGACAGATTCTAATAGATCTGCAAGGTGGGGACTATAAATCTGATAGGAGTTTTATCTTTTTATTGCTGTTTTGCACAATATGCTTAAATAAGTATTTTTTGTTGTTGAATATTAGAGATTTTGCAGATATATTTTTTATACATACATTGTTTAGATTTACTTATATCTTTCTACCCCTTTTATAGAATAGAATAGAAAATCCCTTTATTGTCCCACAATGGGAAAATTTACAGCAGCAGAAAGATTATTGAAAATGGTCACACAAATGAGGACCTTAGAGAAATGTATAAGAATAACATAATAGGGAAGAGTTAAAATATAAACAATAAAATCCTGTAAAGTGTTTTAACAACATAAAACTGGAGAATAAATAACCAAAATGCAGCTATGGACATTTTTACAGGAATGGATATTTGAAAATAGCAGCAGCATCAGAGATGTGCAGAATGACAGCAGCAGGTTATTTAACTGACTGAGGTTTCTATCATTACATTTGATTTGATTAGTTCCTGCTCCCGCTGGTTGGAACCTTTATTCCACTCTGGATTCTTGTGAGTGTAGTCTTTGTTCACTTTACAATAAAAACTGAATAAATAAACACTTTTGAAAACTTCGGTTTTCATTATTTTCCTGCGTTGTGTGTCAACTTTCACGGTTGCTAAGCAACAGAGCCTATGGCAGTAAAGAAGGGTAGACCTGCTCGAATTCACAGCCCAAACTCTTCCGGTCTCCTTATTTTCAAGGACTTCCAAGGATCCAGGATCCAGTCTAGGTAGACGACGTCCTCGGAGGATCCAGTCTAGGTAGACGGCGTCCTCGGAGGATCCAGTCTAGGTAGACGGCCTCCTCGGAGGATCCAGTCTAGGTAGACGGCGTCCTCGGAGGATCCAGTCTAGGTAGACCGCCTCCTCGGAGGATCCAGTCTAGGTAGACCGCCTCCTCGGAGGATCCAGTCTAGGTAGACGGCGTCCTCGGAGGATCCAGTCTAGGTAGACGGCCTCCTCGGAGGATCCAGTCTAGGTAGACGGCGTCCTCGGAGGATCCGGTCTAGGTAGACCGCCTCCTCGGAGGATCCGGTCTAGGTAGACCGCCTCCTCGGAGGATCCGGTCTAGGTAGACGGCGTCCTCGGAGGATCCGGTCTAGGTAGACGGCGTCCTCGGAGGATCCGGTCTAGGTAGACCGCCTCCTCGGAGGATCCGGTCTAGGTAGACGGCGTCCTCGGAGGATCCGGTCTAGGTAGACCGCCTCCTTGGAGGATCCGGTCTAGGTAGACGCCGTCCTCGGAGGATCCAGTCTAGGTAGACCGCCTCCTTGGAGGATCCAGTCTAGGTAGACGGCGTCCTCGGAGGATCCAGTCTAGGTAGACGGCGTCCTCGGAGGATCCAGTCCTCCAAGGACGCCGTCCTCGGAGGATCCAGTCTAGGTAGACGGCGTCCTCGGAGGATCCAGTCTAGGTAGACGGCCTCCTCGGAGGATCCAGTCTAGGTAGACGGCGTCCTCGGAGGATCCAGTCTAGGTAGACCGCCTCCTCGGAGGATCCGGTCTAGGTAGACCGCCTCCTCGGAGGATCCGGTCTAGGTAGACGGCGTCCTCGGAGGATCCGGTCTAGGTAGACCGCCTCCTCGGAGGATCCGGTCTAGGTAGACGGCGTCCTCGGAGGATCCGGTCTAGGTAGACCGCCTCCTTGGAGGATCCGGTCTAGGTAGACGCCGTCCTCGGAGGATCCAGTCTAGGTAGACCGCCTCCTTGGAGGATCCAGTCTAGGTAGACCGCCTCCTTGGAGGATCCAGTCTAGGTAGACGGCGTCCTCGGAGGATCCAGTCTAGGTAGACGCCGTCCTCGGAGGATCCAGTCTAGGTAGACCGCCTCCTTGGAGGATCCGGTCTAGGTAGACGCCGTCCTCGGAGGATCCAGTCTAGGTAGACCGCGTCCTTGGAGGATGCAGCCCAGGTTTTAGAACAGAGCCGTGGTTTCTCTTTCTAGCAGGTTTAAATAACAGGAGGTAGATCTTTGTCTGGTGGAACTCGTCGTTTTCTACCTTTTTCATCAGGAAACATGATGTGGAAGCTGAGCTTCTGGACCAGAACAGAGCCTGAGATCCGGTTCTGATGACTGACTAACGTTAACAGAAGGTTTTTTTTGGAGTCGTTTTATTTCTGTTTTGGCCGAGCCGTTAACGAGAAAGCTCGAGGTTCCCTTCCTCCTATAGTAAAGGATCTTCACGGTTGCTAGGCAACAGAGGTCAAAGCCATCAGTCCTGACCTGTCCTCATCAGTCCCTTCTCCGCCTCGCTGTCCCTCAGCTGGCTCCGCGTGTCCTGCAGCGCCTTCCGTAGTTCTGCCAGGTCGTCCTGGAGCTCCTGGAGTCTGGACTGAGCGAGGAGGAGCTGCTTCTGGAGTTCTGCTTCTGTGGAGGAGAGCAGGAGGCCGGGTCCCATCAGACGGGAGGAAACCGTCCAGGTGGCTACAAATGCTTCGATTCTTTTCTGACACAATAAAAAGCCCAAAGGGGGGATTTAATTGGACCGCCCAGGAATAGGACTCTGCATTTGTCCCTCCAGCCCTTTAGGTGGCGCTAGCGTGGGTCTGAATGGGAAGAAAAAGCTGCAGCTTTTTATATATAAAGCTGCTTTTTATAGCTATAAAACAGTCCCCAAATGTAAGTTAAATTTAAGTTTAAAATATTTTTAAAAAATTTAAATAAAGAATTTTAAAATTTTTTAACTTAGATAAAATAAAAAAGTTGAAATAAAAAAAAATAAATGTACATAAAACAGTTTGTTAAATTTAAGTTTGCCAATTTTACTTCAAAACAACAAAGTCGAGGTTTGCTCCGATAAAGGCACTCGCAGACAGTTAGCAAAGATGCTAACTATCGCAGAAAAAAGACAAAACGTAAAATTTAAATTAAAAAAATAAATGGATGGATTGAAAATAAAAAAGCAAAAAAAATATATATATACACATGTACATTAAAGAGTTAACTAAATTTAAGATTGCAAGTTTTTTTCTAAACAACATTATGTCGACGTTCTGCACTTGTAAACGATTAGTAAAAATGATGCTAACTAACGCAGAAAAAGGTAAATTTCTGGACATGCTAAATCTTCCAGTCGTACCATAAAGAAGGAAGAAAATAACGACAGCAGCAATACGGTTTAATAAGGAAGTGAAAAAGGTTTGCAACTGTTCGCAACAGGCCATGGTAAAGATGGAGTCTGCATTAGCTTAGGGCGCTAATGACTGCAGACAAAAAGAATATTACGCTGTATATGAACGTTATTGGCACAGAAATATCAAACTGAAAGCGATTACATTCATGAAACAGAGGAGGAGGAGGATGCAGATAGCGTCCCATAACGACGGCTCCAAGCGCGTTTTATGCTAGCAAGGGCTAACGCTTTGGACTTTAAAATGTTTCTCTGCATGGGAGTGCCGCCCTTGGAATACCGCTGGAACAATACATTTCAAGCGATCAGTGAGGAAGAGGAAAATAAGCCTGAACTAGTTTTTAATCATAATAATTGTAAAATAAATAAAGGTTACTACTTCATGGATTTCGCGTATCACGGGTTCTTTAGCGAAAGTAAGCACCTAAATTTGATCCCCTTTGGATTTCAAACAATCGTATCTCCGGTTTCTGTCTCACATCACAACTTTTCCCTAAAATCGATCCAGAATGTTCTGGTTTTTTTCTTGGTTTGCGATAAAATTGTAAACAATAAATGTTTAGAACACGTTTACCGTATGGCTGGCAGTAAAGGGGTTACAAACGTTAAACCGGTTAAAAGTTAAACCGGTTATAATTTAATCCAGTATTGGTAAAAGAAAAACTAGAGACGAAAATATGTTGAAGATTTATTTTCTAATACAGAAGAGATATTTAGAAATATTTAGAACATTATTTGATTTAACACTAAAAGTCCCAAAGCAGCCATTTTAACAGTTGAGATTTTTAAATGTAATAACTTTATTTACATGAATCATGTGTTGATTTTTTTCCGTTTCTATATTTCCTTCATTTCACGTTTTCAATAAAAACCTAAATAATAAATGTTTAATTTTACCTCAATCTCCCACAGATGTCATTTTGACAGCTCTATTAGTTGCATGCTAATACTTCCTGCGGTTGAATGAAGTTTGGTACCGTTGCCTAGCAACCAACACCCTACTGATAAATCTCTGGAACTCTTTGGTTAATACGGAAAAATAATATCATATAAGGCAGCCTTTAAATAATATATATTAGACCTTTATTAAGGTCTTCATATCCACAATGGATTTAAACGCACATTAGAACCATTTCAGTGATGACATCATCACTACTCATGGAGATTGGGAGAAATGCCACCCATCAAATTGACGGCCAGTGGGAGTTCTAGTAGGATGACAATTCTGGGAGTCCTAGTGTTAAAAGAGGGCTATAATTTTGTTACTGGTTGTTACGGATTTTGTTTCAGAAATTATTTTTGTTCGATTTAGGTCAAATAAAGCGTGTTCTATGACCTTTGAGAAGCCGGTGTGACTGCGTTTTAAGGCTGGGCAAAGTGTCCTCCTTTTTGGAAATAAAAATATGGTCACCCTAGTTTAGACACTCATCTAAAATGGCTTAACTATTATATAACCCCTATATAGGTCAATATCCCTATAGATATCAATATCCCTATATAGGTCACTATTCCTACATAGGGCCCTATACAGGTCACTATTCCTACATAGGTCGGTATCTCTACATAGGGTCCTATATCTCTACCTAGGGCCCTATATAGGTCTATATCTCTACATAGCTCCCTATATGTCAATATCTCTAAATAGGGCCCTATATAGGTCAGTATCTCTACATAGGGCCCTATATAGGTCAAAATCTCTACATAGGGCCCTATATAGGTCGAAATCTCTACATAGGGCCCTATATAGGTCGGTATCCCTACATAGGGCCCTATATAGGTCGAAATCTCTACATAGGGCCCTATATAGGTCTGTATCCCTACATAGGGCCCTATATAGGTCTGTATCCCTACATGGGGCCCTATATAGGTCTGTATCCCTACATGGGGCCCTATATATGTCCGTATCCCTACATGGGACCCTACATAGGTCGGTATCCCTACATAGGGCCCTATATAGGTCGGTATCTCTACATGGGGCCCTATATAAGGTCAGTATCTCTACATGGGGCCCTATATAGGTCTGTATCCCTACATAGGGCCCTATATAGGTCCGTATCCCTACATGGGGCCCTATATAGGTCCGTATCCCAACATGGGGCCCTATATAGGTCCGTATCCCTACATGGGGCCCTATATAGGTCGGTATCCCTACATAGGGCCCTATATAGGTCGGTATCCCTACATAGGGCCCTATATAGGTAGTTATCTCTACATAGGGCCCTATATAGGTCGGTATCTCTACATAGGGCCCTATATAGGTCGGTATCTCTACATAGGGCCCTATATAGGTCGGTATCCCTACATAGGGCCCTATATATGTCAATATCTCTACATAGGGCCCTATATATGTCAATATCTCTACATAGGGCCCTATATATGTCAATATCTCTACATAGGGCCCTATATAGGTCGGTATCCCTACATAGGGCCCCATATAGGTCGTTATCCCTACATAGGGCCCCATATAGGTCGTTATCTCTACATAGGGCCCTATATAGTTCAAAATCTCTACATAGGGCCCTATATAGGTCAAAATCTCTACTTAGGGCCCTATATAGGTCGTCTACATAGGGCCCTATATAGGTCAGTATCCCTACATAGGGCCCTATATAGATCGGTATCCCTACATAGGGCCCTATATAGGTCGTTATCCCTACATAGGGCCCTATATAGGTCGTTATCTCTACATAGGGCTCTATATAGGTCGGTATCCCTACTTAGGGCCCTATATAGGTCGTCTACATAGAGCCCTATATAGGTCGGTATCCCTACATAGGGCCCTATATAGATCGGTATCCCTACATAGGGCCCTATATAGGTCGTTATCTCTACATAGGGCTCTATATAGGTCGTTATCTCTACATAGGGCCCTATATAGGTCGGTATCCCTACATAGGGCCCTATATAGGTCGGTATCCCTACATAGGGCCCTATATAGGTCGGTATCCCTACATAGGGCCCCATATAGGTCGTTATCTCTACATAGGGCCCTATATAGGTCAAAATCTCTACATAGGGCCCTATATAGGTCAAAATCTCTACACAGGGCCCTATATAGGTCAAAATCTCTACTTAGGGCCCTATATAGGTCGTCTACATAGAGCCCTATATAGGTCGGTATCCCTACATAGGGCCCTATATAGATCGGTATCCCTACATAGGGCCCTATATAGGTCGTTATCTCTACATAGGGCTCTATATAGGTCGTTATCTCTACATAGGGCCCTATATAGGTCGTTATCTCTACATAGGGCCCTATATAGGTCGTTATCTCTACATAGGGCTCTATATAGGTCGTTATCTCTACATAGGGCCCTATATAGGTCGTTATCTCTACATAGGGCCCTATATAGGTCTTATGGCGGATGTTCTGACACAGCCAGCGTCTAGTTTTTGGTCTTTCTTGATCCTAAAAGTACGGATATAAACTCGTTCTGCATTCAGCCCTCCTCCTCACATCCTCTCGGCTCTGTATAAACATTCTGAACATGACTTCTTAGAAAAGGTGTATTTACCCTTAATTTGTTAAGGTAAATAAGATGATTTGCAGATGGAATAAGTAATTAGAAGCACTCGAAATAAGACAATGAAATGATTTTTTCTTATTTTAAATGTTTTGTTCCACTGTCTTACTTCCTTTGATGGATGCTGGAGTAACCATCCAATCACCTTCATTCATGTCAACTATTTTGATGAGGATGCTAAGCCCTGCCCCCTAGCCCTTCCTCTTCCTGATAAACCCACTATGTTTCTGGCAGAGGAATCACCCAGGGGTCCAGCAGGAGGTCCTGGAGGCGACTTTACCTCCTGAGGTCAGACGTTCCTCCTGGTTCTGCGGTTCCTCCACCTTCTGGTTCTGATCTGTCCCACACCTGAAGCAGAAGCTCTTAGGATGTAACGGAGCCATCGGGCAGCAGAACCTGAACCGGGCGGCGGCGGCAGCTTACCTGCAGAATGGCGGGTTCTGACCCAGGCTCCGCTCCAGACGGACCAGCAGCCGCTCTGCTACGCTGCCTGAACACACACACACAGGTTAGGAGCAGCCGATACCAGAACCTCTGACCCGTCAGAGACCCGACACGGCACCTCGTCCGGCGATCAGGGTTCTGAGTTCCTCCAGAAGGTTCTGGACGCTCTCCGCCTCTGTTCCCACGCTACAGCTGAACGGGTCCTGACCCGGTTTGGGAACGGCGTCCGCCCCATGGCCCCGGGAAAGGTTCTGATGGCGCCGTAGAATAGGGCGGGGCCGGGCAGGAGAGGTTCTGTGGGTTGCTGCTTCTGAACCCTGAAGGTCTGAGGAGCAGAACCAAGATGGCTGCGTCACACAATTGGACCAGAATCATTCCACTAAACTTTCTCCTTCTAAAGTTATTCGTCCCTCTGAGAGAAAAAAAGATTAAACTAGTAACTTATTAGGAAGTAACTAGTTATAGTTCCACTCTGGAGAATTCGGATATGCAGCAGTTGGAACGGCCGCTTCCGTACGACTTTAAGGCAGAACAGAGGGACGCCTCAGGAGGGCGCCATATTTTAGTCTGAATCATCAGACTGTTGACAGCAAAGCTGCTTCAGCCGCGCGTCAAAACTAAACTTTTACAAGCATCAAAAAAGAAGCAGCACGCGGGTTTTTGCTGCTCCTGCTGCGTGCCTCTGAACGTAGCGTTATAAGTCGGCAGCCATGTTGGATTTAAAGGCGGAGCCTAAAGACTGACCTGCAGCTCTGCGCGGCGGCTTCCTGCAGGCCGTCCTCCCCTGTGTTGCTCTGGGTTTGGCTCCTCCTTCTTTCATCGCTCTGGTGACACCTGTGGGAGGGGAATAAGTCTGAAAAGTGCGGCTTGCTCCTGTTGCTTCCCCCTAAGTTGACCTGTCGGCATGGCAACCATCAGGAGGGGAGCTGGCGGCCGCTTTAATGCAGGCTGGTTCTACAGGGTTCTGACCCGTTTAACCCGTACCCGTCTGTCCTCTGAGGGCGGAGCGTCTCGGTTCCACTTGCCTCGTCTGGGTTCTCTGAGGACCTGCTGGTGGGAAACAAACGGGTCAGAACCAGGCTGTGCTCAAAGAACCGAACCGCTGGTTCAGAGCTGGTATAGATGCTGGCAGCACAGCTTCTGCTAGAAGCAGAACCATCAGATTCTGGACGGTTCGGAGCATCAGGACCACTGACCAGGTTCTGCTCCAAATGAGTCAAGTTCTATGAAGGTAAAGGTCCAAACCTGTCTGAGCTGCTCCGTCCGCCTGCAGAATGCCGCTTAGCAAGGCAGCACACTGGTCCAAACCCCTGGATAGGCTGGAGACCTGAGAAAGGAACCAAACAGAGACCGGAACCAATCAGAACCAATCAGAGACCAGAACAGATCAGAGACCAGAACAGATCAGAGACCAGAACCAATCAGAGACCGGAACCAATCAGAACCATTCAGAGACCAGAACCAATCAGAAACACAGAACCAATCAGAACCATTCAGAGACCAGAACCGATCAGAGACCGGAACCAATAAGAGACCAGAACCGATCAGAGACCAGAACCAATCAGAAACACAGAACCAATCAGAACCATTCAGAGACCAGAACCAATCAGGAACACAGAACCAATCAGAACCATTCAGAGACCAGAACCGATCAGAAACACTGAACCAATCAGAAACATGGAACCAAACAGAGACCAGAACTAATCAGAAACACAGAACCAATCAGAAACACAGAACCAATCAGAACCATTCAGAGACCAGAACCAATCAGGAACACAGAACCAATCAGAACCATTCAGAGACCAGAACCGATCAGAAACACTGAACCAATCAGAAACATGGAACCAAACAGAGACCAGAACTAATCAGAAACCACCTGAGGCTACGGTGGCCAGGAAGGGTCAAACCTGCAGAATACCTGCTCCTCGGAGTCTGTGGAGTACAGGGAGTAGTCGGGCTTGGGTCGGGGAGGAGGTTCCGGTTCGGCAGGTTCTGGACCGGAAGGTTCCGGTTCTCTGAAGGCAGACACACAGACAGCATAAAGACCCGAATGTCGGTCCGGTTCAGACCAGTTCTGAAAGTTTGGACCCACCGGTTCTCCTTCGCTTTTCCCGCCAGCCGCCCTGACGTCACCGCCGCGGTCTGCTCAGGTCGGGCTCGCGGACCCACCAGAAGTCCTACCTTCCGCCGGGCCTTCCCGCTCATGGTCCGGTCAGTGGGACCGCTGGACCGGAGGAAACAAATGACTTCCGCTGGAGGCGCGAGCTGGAGCTGACCAATGGCGGCATGGTGCGTTCAATGTCTACTCGGTAATCAGAGAACTTCATCTGAAAAAATCGCTGAAAATGATTAAATCTCGTCTTAAAGTTGTTAGTTTATTCTCTAATGTTTAGTTCTTCATCGAACCTTCCTGATGATCCAATAACATCTTTATACAGACATAAAATATCACTAATATTCACCAATTCTAACCATCAGAGGAGCAGGCCCCGCCCACTTCCTGCTTTATCAGACCATTCAGGATCGTTTATTCTTCTAAAGTTGATTCTGCCCCGCCCCATTATCACTGATTGGCAGGATCCACACCTGCAAAATGAATATAGTTTACAAGTATTAGATTTTTTTTTTTATGTCCCCCTGCGGCCCCCCTAAACTGGTTTGATCATTTTAGGAAATTATTTGGTTTTTATGGTAAAATATCGGTTAGAATGTGGCTCCTGCCTTATAAACAGGGAGGACTAGAGTGTCCCAATATGAAGGACCAGCTCATCATACATTAGATACTACTTTAATACCAGGGACGCCCCCTAGTGGACAGACATGGAATCTAAGTCAGTAAGGCAACCCTTACCTATAGACATTTTCTGATTCAGTCCCCAGGATGTTGGGAACAACTGTTAACTGCATAGTTAAAAGCATGATCAGATCATGGTATGATGTAAAGAAAGCAGTTATATTACCACAGTTTAGTCCAACATGGAGAATCCATGATGTCACTCCTGGAAGAGCAGATTCTGTGTTTAAACGGGAACGCCGTTTCTTTCCCCCATTGGTCCTTGATTTTCCGTTATTCCATCATGTTCTACTCTCCCATATGAGTTTAGTGTCATTTGGAGCCGTTCTGACGATATTCCGTTAGGTTATATCCAGTAACGTCTTCCTATGGGCAACGACTTGAAGGCACAAACTAAACTGTTCATCATTTATTCTTTATGGTACGCCAGCATTCAGAACATGGAGGCCAATCACCGTGTCCAGACATCCACAAAAAAATAACACAAAGTTTACTGAGTTTTAATTATTTTAGTTTAATATGGAGGAAAAAGAATCAGAATTCTGACTTTTTTACCGTAATAAAATGTAAAAATCAGATAACTTTTTTTTCAGTTGCCCTAATCCTCTTCTATACTAAAATCTCTTCCTTCATGGTCAGAATGCTGAGATTAAAGTCAGAATTCTATTCTATTCAGTCTATTTCTATAGCTCCTATTCACATCATGTCATCTCAGGTCACTTTACAATCCAACCAGATTCGACTCATTGACTCTTCAGCAATCCCTCACACTAAGCATGCTTGTAGCGACAGTGGAGAGGAAAAACTTTGGACTTTTGTCCTCCGTGGTTCGTTCTTCTGCACATCAAGGTGATTTATGAGCAGAAGGCCTCCCAGTCACCCTTAGATGACAAATATTTTAATTAGTCCCTTTCTGGTCCTGAAAGTTGCTTGGGCACCGGGGTAGGAGTAGATATCAAAGTGCTGTTGGATAATTGGCCTGTTCCTCTGTAGCTCCAGGCATTCCCATGGGACGGGGAATGGTAGAAGTCACTTAGACACCTACAGATGACACATCCAGCATTTGGCTTCACAAACACTGGAACAAAAAGTGATTAAAGCCTTCCTTCAGATAACTTTCCCCATCGTTATGCCGCCATCAACTCTGACTTTGAGTCTGGACAGGAGCAGTAACACCCCACAGTAATCCCCATAGATTACCATCATGAGGAAATTATAGTTCCTGACCTTAATTAGACCGGATTATAGAAAAAATATAAAGGATCCTATTTTATTATTGATTTATTCAATTCACTTTATTTCTGTAGCGCCAATTCACAACATGTCATCACAGGTCACTTTACAATTCAACCAGGTTCGACTCATTGACTCTTCAGCAATCCCGCACACTAAGCATGCTGGTAGCGACAGTGGAGAGGAAAAGCTCCCTTTAAACAGGAAGAAACCTCCAGCAGAACCAGGCTCAGTGTGAGCGGCCATCTGCTGAGGCCCACTGGGGTTCAAGGAGACAGAAGCAGACATAGAAAAAGAAGCATAGATACAAAAGGCAACGTTAAAAGGCGGCCCCATCCAGGAAACACACAGCCAGGCAGACGAGCTCCGAGCCAGCTCCCATGTCAGAGGATGAAGAGAGCACATCCAGTTAGTCACAGTCAGAGAAACAGGACTACACTGGAAAACAGGCCAAGCTCCAACATCTAGAAACAAAGGTGTTGATGGCAGCAGCACAGCTGATATTTCTCTCCAGGATGGAGTCACAGCCAAACAGGAACAGACCAGATGAAGCTACTATGAGAAAAAGCAGAGAGAGCAGAACGTTAGAGATTGAACTAACACATTCTGCAGAGTGGGAGTTCTGATATTAAAGTCATTGAAGATAGAATTCTGACTGTTTTCCCATATTAAACTGAAATAATAAAATCTTTTTTTATTTTTTCTCAGTGGCCATAATCCTCTCCTGTAAACGATGGATCAGACTGAAGCCGACCTCTGGAAGGCATTTCTCCAAGAAGGGAAAAGTGAATTATGTGAAAACGTCTGGAGACGCAGCTAAAGACGAGCTTATTGTGGGAACAATGGAGCCTCAGCAGTAGATTATTATCATCTCTCTCCTCTAAGGAATCTCTGCTGACATGTGACTAAGACGGCGTCTGTTGATTCTATGGGTTCTACGGCAGACACATCTGTGAAAACTTGGGGAAAAAATGGATTCTGCAATTTAATCTTTATTGCAACCATGTTGATTTTTAAGGGTTTGTTTCTAGAATTTGTTCTTTATTCCATTTACAGAAGAGCTATATGTGTATATATTTTATCTCTTTTTATTCTTATTTTTTTTTATCTTTATTACATTGTATACTTGGATATGTGTATATATTGTATAAAACTGTAACTAGAGCGTGTAACAAAAGTAATTTCCCTCTGGGATTATTAAAGTATTTCTGATCTGATGTAAACATCTTGTCTTTCCCATCTTTATGGCCTTTTCTGGGAAAAATAAACATGTCCAGAACCTAAACTGGGGTTAAATCTGGTCTCTGACAAAAATATTTAAATAATTTTATCCTCTAAAAATCCTGCTCCTTCTGTAAACTTTACCCAGAGACGTCTTAAGATCTAACCGCTGTAATATCTGAAAGCATAAAACCTTTTTTTTTTTTATATATATATATATATGTTGTGTTTACAGGCTTCAGCTTACTTCTTTTTTTTTCCTCGTAAAGCTGATTTTTCTCTTGGCAAAGCCACTGATTATCCTGATCACCAACCCTTTATTTACCCTGTAACACGTGGTTCTCTCCTGTATTTGCCATTTTAATTTTCCTTTCCTATTCTCTACTATACCCTGAACACACCGCCTGATTGGCAGCCTCCATGTTGGTGGAGTTCTGCTGAGTCAGGTTTATCACTTTACTTGGATTTAGCTTTACATATGCATATATATACACACATATATATACAGAAGAGCTATATGTGTATATATTATCTTTTATCTTATGTTGTTGGATGTATATATATATACAGGTGCTGGTCATAAAATTAGAATATCATGAAAAAGTAGATTGATTTCAGTAATTCCATTTAAAAAGTGAAACTTGTATATTATATTCATACATTACATACAAACTCATATATTTCAGATGTTTATTTTGTTTAATTTTGATGATTACAAATGACAACAATGAAAATCTCAAATTCATCATATCAGAAAATTAGAATATTACTGAAGACCAATAAAAACAAAGGATTTATAGAAATGTTGGCCAACTGAAAAGTATGAACATGAAAAGTATGAGCATGTACAGCACTCAGTATTTAGTTGGGCCTCCTTTGGCCTGTATTACTGCAGCAATGCGGCGTGGCATGGAGTCGATCAGTCTGTGGCACTGCTCAGGTGTTATGATAGCCCAGGTTGCTCTAATAGTGGCTTTTAGCTCTTCTGAATTGTTGGGTCTGGTGTATTGCATCTTCTTCTTCACAATACCCCATAGATTTTCTATGGGGTTAAGGTCAGGAGAGTTTGCTGGCCAATTAAGAACAGGGATACCATGGTCCTTCAACCAGGTACTGGTAGCTTTGGCACTGTGTGCAGGTGCCAAGTCCTGTTGGAAAATGAAATCTGCATCTCCAAAAAGTTGGTCAGCTGCAGGAAGCATGAAGTGCTCTAGAACTTCCTGGTATGTGGCTGCGTTGACCCTGGACCTCAGAAAACACAATGGACCAACACCAGCAGATGACATGGCACCCCAAACCATCACTGACTGTGGAAACTTTACACTGGACTTCAAGCAACGTGGATGAAGTGCCTCTCTTCTTTTCCTCCAGACTCTGGGACCTTGATTTCCAAAGGAAATGCAAAATTTACTTTCATCAGAGAACATGACTTTGGACCACTCACCAGCAGTCCAGTCCTGTTTCTCTTTAGCCCAGGCAAGACGCTTCTGACGCTGTCTGTGGTTCAAGAGTGGCTTGACACAAGGAATGCGACAGCAGAAACCCATGTCTTTCATACGTCTGTGTGTGGTGGTTCTTGAAGCACTCACTCCAGCTGCAGTCCACTCTTTGTGAATCTCCCCCACATTTTTGAATGGGTTTTGTTTCACAATCCTCTCCAGGGTGCGGTTATCTCTCTTGCTTGTACACTTTTTTCGACCACATCTTTTCCTTCCCTTCGCCTCTCTATTAATGTGCTTGGACACTGAGCTCTGTGAACAGCCAGCCTCTTTAGCGATGACCTTTTGTGTCTTGCCCTCCTTGTGCAAGGTGTCGATGGTCGTCTTTTGGACAACTGTCAAGTCAGCAGTCTTCCCCATGATTGTGTAGCCTATAGAACTAGACTGAAAGACCATTTAAAGGCTTTTGCAGGTGGTTTGAGTTAATTAGCTGATTAGAGTGTGGCACCAGGGGCCATCAATTTTGAACCTTTTCACAATATTCTAATTTTCTGATATGATGAATTTGAGATTTTCATTTGTTGTCATTTGTAATCATCAAAATTAAACAAAATAAACATCTGAAATATATGAGTTTGTATGTAATGTATGAATATAATATACAAGTTTCACTTTTTAAATGGAATTACTGAAATCAATCTACTTTTTCATGATATTCTAATTTTATGACCAGCACCTGTATATATAAAACTAACTGGGGAGTGTAACTAATTTCCCTCTGGGATTATTAAAGTATTTGATTCTGATTGTGGGTTTTATTAATCAGCGACCTGCAGGTGTGGCCTTTGGCGGCCATGTTTATGAAGGCGGTCGATTAGAGACGGGGGTGGGACCTTTAGCAGACAGCAGTGGAGGAGTTCACACGGAAACGACCTAAAGTCAAAACTAGACATGGAAACAAACTCCATCCATAAGCGTCAATCATTCTGTTTGGAAACGTCCTAAAATTGTTTCATTTTGGGAAAATTTGCAGGAAACTGAAGAAGATTCTGGGAAATGAGATGTGAGGTTCTATACGTCTGAAATTTCAATCACGCCGCAGTAAAGCTAAACGACTAAGACAAAAGATTAGGGCCAGGCTAAAGATCATTTTCTATTTCAAGAATAAAGCCGAATAACAAAGAACAATATTAGGAGAACAAAGAGGTTAAGTTACAAGAATAAGTCGCAATGAGAAGAGTAATAAAATTACAAGAAGTTACACGTTATAACGACAAGTCATAATACAAGCCATAAAATCACGAGAATCAAGCAGGAATAAGTCGTAACAATTAAGGAAAACAGTCATAAAATTAAGAGAATGAAGTAATATTATGAGAATAAAGTTGCAACGAGGTTAATTTATTCTTGTATTACAACTTTATTCTCTAAAAACTCTCCAGCCTGGCGCTGATGCTCCGATGAAGATCATGTTCATAGCTAGTCAGAAACCTATGAGGAACAATACAGTGAAATAATAGAAGAAATCTACATTTTGGAAGAATTGATGCTTCGTTTGAGGCTTCAGCAAACTGAAATAGAAGACATGGACATTCTAGACTTAAAGCTACAAAAAATGAAGAACTAGATGGGCTAAAGATGAAAGAACTAACTCCTGAGTGACGCTTTTTATGTTGAATGTGTTCATCTACATTGTGTATAAACAGTTAGAAAAGAGACAGACTGGTGACTTTCAGCCGTTTACCATTTAATTCAGGAGATTAACAACAAACACTTCAAACACTCAGACGTTTCTCCTCAATGGTAAAAAAAACAACAGAAACAAAGAAAATAAACGATAAATCAGGATGCATGCAAAGCCGATCAACGGTTTTAAACAAACTCAACCAAACCAAACCAAACAAACAGCCGCCTCATTCCCAGTCCGCCTCATTCCCAGTCGTCGTCGTCAGCTGCGGCCGGCTGGCTCGGAGCGCTCCCCTGCAGCGAGTTGGTCTGTGGACCCGGAACAGAGGCGTTAGAGCAGAAGGGGAACAGGAAGCAGAACCAGGAAGACGCCGCCTCACCTTTCTGGAGTCTGTGGAGCCGAAGGTCTTGGAGGAACTGAAGCCGCTGTTCCCTCGACTGCCTGAAGCCGACTCCTCCAGCCAGGACGGCACCTCCTGCTGCGCCTGAACCCACCAGAACCCGCGGTTAGAGGCCGGGCGGAGCCGCCAGCGCTAACAGCTAGCAGGACTCACCTTGGACAAGATGGACACCAGCGCCGGAGCCAGCTGCTGATCTTCGTCCGGGTTGAAGAACGACACCGCCTTCCCCACGTTGCCGCAGCGGCCCGTTCTGCCGATGCGGTGGACGTAGTCGTCGATGGTTTTGGGAAGGTCAAAGTTCACCACGTGCTGGACGTCCGGGATGTCCAGGCCGCGGGCGGCGACCGAGGTGGCCACCAGGACGGGACACTTCCCGCTGCGGAAGTCCGCCAGAGCCAGCTCCCGTTCCCGCTGCTCCCGGTCTCTGCCGACAGAAAACAGCGTGAGAAACGGCGGCCGGGGAAACGGAGGCGGAGCGCCGGGCGGCGTTGGTACCCGTGGATGCTGGTGGTGGGAACCTTCTCCTGACACAGGAAGGTGGCGATGAAATCCGCCTGCCGCTTGGTCTCCACAAACACCATGGTTCTCTCCGTTCCTGTGGGCGGAGCAACGAAAGGCAAGTAACAGTGAATCAGTGAGCTGCGATCTTTCTCAGTTCGGAACAGTCCTAAAATTACTCTGGGAAAATGCGTAAAACTAAAGATGATTCTGAGATGGAATATTCCTGAGTCGCAATTTCAATAACATCACAGCAATGATAAAAGATCAGAGCCAGGATAAAAGGTGTTTCTATTTCAAGAATAAAGTCCTGAAATTACTGGAACAAATTAGCAAAGTTACGAGAATAAGGTCGCTACGAGAATAGTCACAATAAGGTCGTAACATTACGAGAATAAGGTCGCTACATGAATAGTCACAATAAGGTCGTAACATTACGAGAATAAGGTCGCTACGTGAATAGTCACAATAAGGTCGTAACATTACGAGAATAAGGTCGCTACGTGAATAGTCACAATAAGGTCGTAACATTACGAGAATAAGGTCGCTACGTGAATAGTCACAATAAGGTCGTAACATTACGAGAATAAGGTCGCTACGTGAATAGTCACAATAAGGTCGTAACATTACGAGAATAAGGTCGCTACGTGAATAGTCACAATAAGGTCGTAACATTACGAGAATAAGGTCGCTACGTGAATAGTCACAATAAGGTCGTAACATTACGAGAATAAAGTCGCTACGAGAATAGTCACAATAAGGTCGTAACATTACGAGAATAAGGTCGCTACGTGAATAGTCACAATAAGGTCGTAACATTACGAGAATAAGGTCGCTACGTGAATAGTCACAATAAGGTCGTAACATTACGAGAATAAGGTCGCTACGTGAATAGTCACAATAAGGTCGTAACATTACGAGAATAAGGTCGCTACGTGAATAGTCACAATAAGGTCGTAACATTACGAGAATAAGGTCGCTACGAGAATAGTCACAATAAGGTCGTAACATTACGAGAATAAAGTCGCTACGTGAATAGTCACAATAAGGTCGTAACATTACGACTTTCACACTCGTGACGTTACGACTTTCACACTCGTGATGTTACGACTTTATACTGGTAATATTAGGAGTGAGTCGGAGCGGACGGAGAAAAGATTCGGCGTGGGGAAGGGGGCAGTACCGGTAGTTCGCAGCAGATCCAGCAGCCGCTCCCTCTTGGCGAACTTGTCCACTTCAATTATCGTCTGCTCCACGTCGCTGCAGGCTCCGCCCACGATCCCCACGGCCAGGAAGAGGTAGTCTGTCCTCAGGAAGTCGGCGGCCAGCCTGCAGACGGAGCAGAAGGTGAGTGAGGGGCGACCCGGGTGGGGCGGCACGGCGACGATGGCGGCGCAGACCTCTGGATGTCCTCTGGGAAGGTGGCGCTGAACATCAGCGTCTGCCTCTGCTCCTTGGCCGGCATCCCAGGCGAGCCCACCAGGCGACGCATTTCCGGCTCGAAGCCCATGTCCAGCATCCGGTCGGCCTCGTCCAGAACCAGGTAGCGGACCTTGGTCAGCCCGACCTGGAAGGAGAACCGTTAGCTACAGGCTGGACCGGAACCGGAGCAGTTCCATTCCTGCGTTACCTTTCCTCTCCCGATCATGTCCAGCAGGCGTCCCGGCGTCCCGCAAAGGACGTTACAGCCCCTGATGATGTCCTTGATCTGGTAGCCGGTGCTGACGCCGCCGTAGACCACCACGGGTCGCACGCAAGTCCTGAAACCAGACGGAGAAGTCAGACCAGGATTGGGTGGAGATTTTTGCTCCCAAACGCTCCGCCTACCCATAGGCAAATTTCCGCGCCTCCAGGTAGATCTGGTTGATGAGCTCTCTGGTGGGCGCCACAATGATGACCTCTGGTTCCTGCGTCTCGCTGAAGTGGCTGGCCGCCACGCCGTCCGCCATCAGCTGCTGCAGGATGGGCAGCAGGAAGGCGGCCTGTAAGGGACAAACATTAAGCAGCCGCCCTGAGGATGGCACGGGGGAAGCCACCCCGGCGCTCACCGTCTTCCCGGAGCCCGTCTGGGCGCAGGCCATCAGGTCTCTGCCGGCAGCGATGATGGGGATGCTGTGCTTCTGCACCGGCGTCGGCTTCACGTACCCCGACTTGCTGATGTTCTTCCGGAGGGTCTCGCACAGGTTGGCCTCATCGAAGCTCTGGGGAGGAGACTGTTTAAGAGGGGGGGGGGACCGGGCCTCACGGTTCTGCAGTCGCCGCCGGGTCACCTCCTACCATGAACGCTGCGGGCGAGTCGCTACCGCTGATTTCCACCAGGATGTCGTCGTACTTGTTGAAGTTGATGCCGCTCTCGTAGTGGGCGAAGATCGACTCCTCGTCCTCGGGAAGGGAGGGAGGGATGTACGTCACTTTGGGTTCTGAAAGTCAGAACGGGGTTATTAGGGAGGGGTCCTGGGTGGAGGGGTCGGCGTTCGCTGTAAGGAGTTCCACCTACTGTCACCATCAGCGTCCTCTTTCTTCTCTGGATCTTTGTCTTCTCCTGCAACCACAAAGAACGGGTCAGAATCTAACCGTTCTGGTCCGGACCGAATCAGAAACCAGTTCCGAACCCAACACCGGTTCCGATCCAAACCCAAATCAGAAACCGGGTCCGGTCCAGACACCAGTTCCGATCCAAACCCAATCAGACACCGGGTCCAGTCCAGACACTGGTTCCGATCCAAACCGAATCAGAAACCGGGTCCGGTCCAGACCGAATCAGACATCGGGTCTGGTCCAGACACTGGTTCCGATCCAAACCCAAACAGACACCGGGTCCGATCCAAACCCAAACAGACACCGGGTCCGATCCAAACCCAATCAGACACCGGGTCCGATCCAAACCCAATCAGACACCGGTTCCGATCTAGACCGGATCATACACCGGTTCCGATCTAGACCGGATCAGACACCGGTTCCGATCCAGACCGGATCAGACACCGGTTCCGATCCAGACCGGATCAGACACCGGTTCCGATCTAGACCGGATCAGACACCGGTTCCGATCCAGACCGGATCAGACACCGGTTCCGACCCAGACCGGATCAGACACCGGTTCCGACCCAGACCGGATCAGACACCGGTTCCGACCCAGACCGGATCAGACACCGGTTCCGACCCAGACCGGATCAGACACCGGTTCCGATCCAGACCGGATCAGAAACGATTATTGCTGGGACATATTAAAAATATCAACCCAGGTGTTTTCTCCTCCCTCACTCCAGGGGGCGGGGCTTTCCTCTCCATCAAAGAAGCATTCCTATTGGTCCCTAGCTGGACTTGAGCCACATTTCATTGGCCAATCGGACTTACAGAGAAAGTTCTGGGTAAGGAAAGCCATTTCTGACTTAATTAGGAGTTAAAAGAACTTTGGAGTTTTAAAAGGTGGAAAGCTTCCTCGATCGTTTCTGGATCAGAACCAGATTCTTACCTCGACTGATGACCTCATCATCTTCCACGCGGTAGCCTGCAATGACAAGCACCGCATCAGCTCTGCCTTCATCATCACCATCAATAATCTTGCTCTTCATCCTCTACCTCCACCGAAGCCGCCTCGTCCTCCTCCTCTTCTCCCTCGGCCGCCATCTTGAACACATCGTCCAATCATGAATCACCTAACCAACACATGTGATGACAAAGCTGCGGAGCCTCTGGTACCTTGTCTGAAGCCGCCTCTTCCTCCTCTTCCTCGCCCTCTGAACCCTGTGAGAGATGCACCAATCAGAGGAGAGAACTTTCTGAGCTACGGCGGCAGATCAACAACCTTCTTACCGTTTTCCTGGGATCCATCAGCGTCTCCTGCGGACCAATCAGACACAGCGTCAATTAAAGCCCAATTAAAAACCAACCAATCAAAGATCAGTAAACGTCTTCACCAGGAGAATTATCGGAGAAGCTCCTGCCGAAGCCTCTTCCTTTGAAGCCTTCCCTCTCGCCGTCCGCTTTACGGCTCCAGCCGGATCCGTCTGCTCAGACAGGAAGCCGTAAAAAAACATCAACGACGAGCCGAATGAACAACTCCAGCCAACCAGGAGTGGAGAACGCCCACCTGAGCTGAACGAGTTCCTGAAGCCTCTTCCTCGCCCGCCACGACCTCTTCCGGAGTCGCTGTGTTCGCCGTTCAATGAACCTTCGTTCCACGAACCTAAGGGCCGTTCAAAAGGTTAGCGGGGCGTTAGCTCAGCAGCAGCTGGATGTTAGGAAACCGTACCGTTGCTAGGGGCGGAGCTTGACAGGCCGACGGTCGTTTCCTGGAAGAGAGGGGAGAACCAGTGAGAAATGGCGGGGGCGGGAACTCGGCAGCAGAAGGAAGGGGGGCTTACCGCTTCTTCCCAGTCGTCCATGTTATGGGAAAGCTGGAAAAAATAAAAAATAATAATAATAATTAAAAAAAAACTTGTTTAGAATAAAACTAAAACATTTAACTCCTCAAAGAATTTAATTTATATAAAATTTCCTCTGGATTCAAAAACTGAAATTCGAAAATTCAACTTTATAATAAAATATGGTACAAGAAAAATAGGAAATAAATTTGGGAAAAATTTTTACTTTAAAATTCCTCTTTTTCATTGAATTTCTGAGGAGAGAGAAATCCTGACAGGATATAAATAATTTAAGAAATAAACAATTTTTTAATAACCTCCATTTAAAGACAACAAATTTAAACAATTATTTTTAGTCTTTCCATAATTCTGCAGCAAACTATGGTGTTTAGGAGCTCTTACTTTGAAATGTACTTCCTGTTTGGCGCTGGGTCTCTGTAGATGAGGGGAGCCTGTGTGAATGACTGCTTTCTATTGGACAGGAGGGTCATAAATGGGTCATTAACTCACCTCTGTAGATCTTCCTGTGGTGCTTTAAAAAAATCTAATAAAAACATTAAGGAAATTAAAATCAGGTTTGCTGGTCCAGGGTCACAGCTCAACATGGCCGCCCAGAGAAAACTGGTTTGACAAAAAGTTTATTTAGTGTATTTAAATGTTTTATTTTCTTTTTTTGCTTAACTGATAAGGTTAATTGCACCATTGGCTTAAATTTAAGCAGCCCCTCCTTGCCAGCTGGAGCTTATTAAACCCCGTTGTAGAATATTCCGAACCGTAAAGGAGTCCTTAAAACATCACTGAAATCAATCCGCGGATCAAACAGCAGCCCCGTCACTACCCGATCCGTCCTGCGCATGCGCAAACAGAATAAGATCAGGGTGGCCGAAAACCTCAAAATAACGCAACTGAAAATACTTATTTATACACTTAAAACATCAAAATATGCTAAACTCTATGGTATAGAAAACACTGAAGACTTTTCTGGAAGAAACGGATACGTTTTACCTTCCCTCCGCTGAATTGCGTGACGTCATCGTCGGACATTCTCAGAGAAATCACGGTAAGGTTAAAGGCTCTTTAATACTAAAATATTCAAAAGCAAACATCAGCCCGAGAAAGAAAAAGAAATACGAAGTATTGCCTACCGAGAAGTAGTTCGCGCATGCGCAGGCCGGACCGGCTACTGACAGCCCCGGTGATGCTGAGCTTAAAATGTCGGCTTGCAGACGAGGCCACAGACCTCCCGCTAATTAGCCGCCCTAGCCTCGCTAATTAGCCGCCCGAGCAACGCTAATTAGCCGCCCGAGCCACGCTAATTAGTCGCCCAAGCCACCCTAATTAGCCGCCCTAACCCCGCAGCAGTCCGCTAGCTTGGCCTTGAGCAGAGCCACGGCCCCAGGGCCGCCATGTTGCTCCGGCCCTCAGGAGGAAGCCGGGCGCCATATTGGCTGCAGCTGCACGTGCTCCGAAGCTCAACTTCAAATACCTGGAACTAATGTTAAACTTCTCTTCTAATAAAGGCATTAGCTAGAAAAACAACTACTCCATGCAATTTTTATTAAAACTGGCCATTTTTGTAGCTAGCAAAGACAAAAGAAACTAGAGAAATTATTTTAAGACCATCCAAAGTGATGGCGGTGGACTTCAAAGACTTTAACTCAGCTCTTAAAAAAAAAAAAAAAACTTTCAATTAAGTGCAATGATAAAAAAATACATATTTTAAACTACAATATTTCAGTAGAGATTTGTTGGGAGAAAGTGCCGCAGCAGCGGTAAAGTTCTTACCGCTTCTCGGAGCCTCTCCTGCAGGTCGCTGCTCCTCCTCCTGTCTGTCTCTCTGCGGCAGCGCGCGCTCACCACCTGCGGTAAAGGGCGGCAGGGTTGCCAGGTTTGAAGCTGTCCCTCTTTCCTGAAACATGTTGAAAACAAAGCGATAAAAACCCTCCAGATGACCGTAGCGCAGCTTTTAATTCTCTGATGTCACATCTGAGCTTATTTCCACCGCGTTTAGAGAAGGATTATAGAATACATTTATTTATTTATTTTGATATCAATATTTTGACAGTTTTCTGAGGCACTGGCTAAAAATGCACATGTACTACACAGAAAAAAAATTAAAAACACAGATTTTTAAATCTTAAGACAAAATGAAGTTATTTACTTTATGAACAATATTTTAATAAAGTAAAGAGCGGAGGGGAGGTCTATCTGGGTCTGCCTGCTGGGGGCGGGTTGCCTTCACAGCTCTGGGAGGAAAGTGTTCCTGAGTCTGCTTCTTTTGGATCTGATGGTTGAATGGCTTTCCTGACGGTAGTGGAACCAGTGCGGTGAACGGGATGGCTGGGATCTATAGATGTTAGATTTTAACCTGGTAGATGTTACCCTGGTAGATTTTTACGTGGTAGATGTTAGATTTTAACCTGGTAGATGTTAGACTTTAACCTGGTAGATGTTAGATTTTAACCTGGTAGATGTTAGATTTTAACCTGGTATATGTTACCTGGGTAGATTTTTACCTGGTAGATGTTAGATTTTAACCTGGTAGATGTTAGATTTTAACCTGGTATATGTTACCTGGGTAGATTTTTACGTGGTAGATGTTAGATTTTAACCTGGTAGATGTTACCCGGGTAGATTTTTACGTGGTAGATGTTAGATTTTAACCTGGTATATGTTACCCGGGTAGATTTTTACCTGGTAGATGTTAGATTTTACCCTGGTAGATGTTAGATTTTAACCTGGTATATGTTACCCGGGTAGATTTTTACGTGGTAGATGTTAGATTTTAACCTGGTAGATGTTAGATTTTAACCTGGTAGATGTTAGATTTTTACCTGGTAGATGTTAGATTTTAACCTGGTAGATGTTAGATTTTAACCTGGTATATGTTACCCGGGTAGATTTTTACGTGGTAGATGTTAGATTTTAACCTGGTAGATGTTACCCGGGTAGATTTTTACGTGGTAGATGTTAGATTTTAACCTGGTATATGTTACCTGGGTAGATTTTTACGTGGTAGATGTTAGATTTTAACCTGGTAGATGTTACCCGGGTAGATTTTTACGTGGTAGATGTTAGATTTTAACCTGGTAGATGTTACCCGGGTAGATTTTTACGTGGTAGATGTTAGATTTTAACCTGGTAGATGTTACCCGGGTAGATTTTTACGTGGTAGATGTTAGATTTTAACCTGGTATATGTTACCCGGGTAGATTTTTACGTGGTAGATGTTAGATTTTAACCTGGTATATGTTACCCGGGTAGATTTTTACGTGGTAGATGTTAGATTTTAACCTGGTATATGTTACCCGGGTAGATTTTTACGTGGTAGATGTTAGATTTTAACCTGGTATATGTTACCCGGGTAGATTTTTACGTGGTAGATGTTAGATTTTAACCTGGTAGATGTTAGATTTTAACCTGGTATATGTTACCTGGGTAGATTTTTACGTGGTAGATGTTAGATTTTAACCTGGTAGATGTTAGATTTTAACCTGGTATATGTTACCCGGGTAGATTTTTACGTGGTAGATGTTAGATTTTAACCTGGTAGATGTTACCCGGGTAGATTTTTACGTGGTAGATGTTAGATTTTAACCTGGTATATGTTACCTGGGTAGATTTTTACGTGGTAGATGTTAGATTTTAACCTGGTAGATGTTACCCGGGTAGATTTTTACGTGGTAGATGTTAGATTTTAACCTGGTAGATGTTACCCGGGTAGATTTTTACGTGGTAGATGTTAGATTTTAACCTGGTATATGTTACCCGGGTAGATTTTTACGTGGTAGATGTTAGATTTTAACCTGGTAGATGTTACCCGGGTAGATTTTTACGTGGTAGATGTTAGATTTTAACCTGGTATATGTTACCCGGGTAGATTTTTACGTGGTAGATGTTAGATTTTAACCTGGTATATGTTACCCGGGTAGATTTTTACGTGGTAGATGTTAGATTTTAACCTGGTAGATGTTACCCGGGTAGATTTTTACGTGGTAGATGTTAAATGTTAACCTGGTAGACGTTAACCTGGTAGACGTTAACCTGGTAGATGTTACCCGGGTAGATTTTTACGTGGTAGATGTTAGATTTTAACCTGGTATATGTTACCCGGGTAGATTTTTACGTGGTAGATGTTAGATTTTAACCTGGTATATGTTACCTGGGTAGATTTTTACGTGGTAGATGTTAGATTTTAACCTGGTAGATGTTACCCGGGTAGATTTTTACGTGGTAGATGTTAGATTTTAACCTGGTATATGTTACCCGGGTAGATTTTTACGTGGTAGATGTTAGATTTTAACCTGGTATATGTTACCCGGGTAGATTTTTACGTGGTAGATGTTAGATTTTAACCTGGTATATATGTTACCCGGGTAGATTTTTACGTGGTAGATGTTAGATTTTAACCTGGTATATGTTACCCGGGTAGATTTTTACGTGGTAGATGTTAGATTTTAACCTGGTAGATGTTACCCGGGTAGATTTTTACGTGGTAGATGTTAGATTTTAACCTGGTAGATGTTACCCGGGTAGATTTTTACGTGGTAGATGTTAGATTTTAACCTGGTATATGTTACCCGGGTAGATTTTTACGTGGTAGATGTTAGATTTTAACCTGGTATATGTTACCCGGGTAGATTTTTACGTGGTAGATGTTAGATTTTAACCTGGTAGATGTTACCCGGGTAGATTTTTACTTGGTAGATGTTAGATTTTAACCTGGTAGATGTTAGATTTTAACCTGGTAGATGTTAGATTTTAACCTGGTAGATGTTAGATTTTAACCTGGTAGATGTTACCCGGGTAGATTTTTACGTGGTAGATGTTAGATTTTAACCTGGTATATGTTACCCGGGTAGATTTTAACCTGGTAGATGTTAGATTTTAACCTGGTATATGTTACCCGGATAGATCTTTACATGGTAGATGTTAGATTTTAACCTGGTAGATGTTAGATTTTAACCTGGTAGATGTTAGATTTTAACCTGGTATATGTTACCTGGGTAGATTTTTACCTGGTAGATGTTAGATTTTAACCTGGTAGATGGTAGATTTTAACCTGGTAGATGTTAGATTTTAACCTGGTATATGTTAGATTTTAACCTGGTATATGTTACCTGGGTAGATTTTTACCTGGTAGATGTTAGATTTTACCCTGGTAGATGTTAGATTTTAACCTGGTATATGTTACCTGGGTAGATTTTTACGTGGTAGATGTTAGATTTTAACCTGGTAGATGTTAGATTTTAATCTGGTAGATGTTACCTGGGTAGATTTTTACGTGGTAGATGTTAGATTTTAACCTGTTAGATGTTACCCGGGTAGATTTTTACGTGGTAGATGTTAGATTTTAACCTGGTAGATGTTAGATTTTAACCTGGTATATGTTACCTGGGTAGATTTTTACGTGGTAGATGTTAGATTTTAACCTGTTAGATGTTACCCGGGTAGATTTTTACGTGGTAGATGTTAGATTTTAACCTGGTAGATGTTACCCGGGTAGATTTTTACGTGGTAGATGTTAGATTTTAACCTGGTATATGTTATCCGGGTAGATTTTTACGTGTTAGATGTTAGATTTTAACCTGGTAGATGTTAACCTGGTAGACGTTACCCTGGTAGATGTTATCCTGGTAGATGTTAAATGTTAACCTGGTAGACGTTAACCTGGTAGATGTTACCCGGGTAGATTTTTACGTGGTAGATGTTAGATTTTAACCTGGTATATGTTACCCGGGTAGATTTTTACGTGGTAGATGTTAGATTTTAACCTGGTATATGTTACCCGGGTAGATTTTTACGTGGTAGATGTTAGATTTTAACCTGGTAGATGTTAACCTGGTAGACGTTACCCTGGTAGATGTTATCCTGGTAGATGTTAAATGTTAACCTGGTAGACGTTAACCTGGTAGATGTTACCCGGGTAGATTTTTACGTGGTAGATGTTAGATTTTAACCTGGTATATGTTACCCGGGTAGATTTTTACGTGGTAGATGTTAGATTTTAACCTGGTAGATGTTACCTGGGTAGATTTTTACGTGGTAGATGTTAGATTTTAACCTGGTATATATGTTACCTGGGTAGATTTTTACGTGGTAGATGTTAGATTTTAACCTGGTATATATGTTACCCGGGTAGATTTTTACGTGGTAGATGTTAGATTTTAACCTGGTATATGTTACCCGGGTAGATTTTTACGTGGTAGATGTTAGATTTTAACCTGGTAGATGTTACCCGGGTAGATTTTTACGTGGTAGATGTTAGATTTTAACCTGGTATATATGTTACCTGGGTAGATTTTTACGTGGTAGATGTTAGATTTTAACCTGGTAAATGTTACCCGGGTAGATTTTTACGTGGTAGATGTTAGATTTTAACCTGGTATATGTTACCCGGGTAGATTTTTACGTGGTAGATGTTAGATTTTAACCTGGTAGATGTTACCCGGGTAGATTTTTACGTGGTAGATGTTAGATTTTAACCTGGTATATATGTTACCTGGGTAGATTTTTACGTGGTAGATGTTAGATTTTAACCTGGTATATATGTTACCCGGGTAGATTTTTACGTGGTAGATGTTAGATTTTAACCTGGTATATGTTACCCGGGTAGATTTTTACGTGGTAGATGTTAGATTTTAACCTGGTAGATGTTACCCGGGTAGATTTTTACGTGGTAGATGTTAGATTTTAACCTGGTATATATGTTACCCGGGTAGATTTTTACGTGGTAGATGTTAGATTTTAACCTGGTATATGTTACCCGGGTAGATTTTTACGTGGTAGATGTTAGATTTTAACCTGGTATATGTTACCCGGGTAGATTTTTACGTGGTAGATGTTAGATTTTAACCTGGTAGATGTTACCCGGGTAGATTTTTACGTGGTAGATGTTAGATT